CCATGGTTCCTGTTCTGTTGATGGTTGAGCATTAGAGAATGTCACGAGCGTGATTCATCTTCCCTCGCCTTTTCTGGCCTTCTCATATCTCGCTGATCTTCAAAAGAATTTTCCGCTTAACTTCCTATATTAGGAGGCTGAGAGCGTCTGGTATAACTCATCCTCTCCCCATGTGTTTTTTCAACTCCCACTCCTTGCCTATCCTCCTGTATTGCTCCCTTTTATTTTTCCCCGGGTTGCTGCAAAAGACTGCTATAATGCGTAGAACTTCAAGGGTTGTCAGCACAGCTAGTGGTATACCCCTAAGCCTTCCACTTGAAACTGTGGTGGACAAACATATCAACTCATGTAGTAATCCAGCAGGGGTTATTTTATCAGACGACCAACATCCTCTTTACTCAAAGCTGTCTGTGTGTCGGTCACCCTTAAAGACGAGGAGCAAGTACATAAGACTGTGCACATACTACCAAATATAAAACTTCACGAAGTATTAGAAAAGAACAGACTAATCAACTTCTGTTTTTGAAAGCAGACTACTTGAGGATGAGTGTGCTACTTTTTACGTATTATGAATCTAATTGCTAATGTAATTGCCTGCCTGAGTTGGCTATGCATTATGAAGAAAGCTTTAGACAGACTGAGAACTCTCATCTTTTCTACACGTAACTTCTACTTATTTCGCTTCGCTACGTATAAACATGCACTGTCTCGGTCTAATTGATGCCGTGCAACAGGTTGAAAATTCCATGGAATATTCTCGAAATAGCTTTCTGAATAAAGCCATTATTGTCGTTATTATCATTACCAAAAAAGTTAAAAACCTATTCCTACCATCATAAATATTTTACCTTCCACCTGACTTGAGTACCTTAATCTTCCTTTCCCCTATCTACACATTGAAGTGAGTAGTGGTAGTGGCTAATTCGACTCTCATCTCGAAGACACCCCAAGTGAAGCCTTATCCGGTCTTCCGACGGCCCCACTATCAATAGTAAGCAGGGATGGATCTCAGCCGTTTGAGACCGGCCGGAAGGACCACGGGTTGGCCCAGTTGGGATGATCACAAACATCATCACCCAACTGGGGGTTGAACTGCATCACTGTATGTTACAGAAGTCTCCTGGAGAAGAACGGAATCGTCAAACAAGCAGCGGTGGTAAATGGTACGCCATAAACTATGACTGGGCGACCTGTAGGCAAAACAGTGGTGGCTCTACAGAGGCAGCCATTCACCTCCAGGAAACCTCCCATTGATGGGGTGACCCTGATCTCTGCTTGGACGGCAGGACGATTCCTCTTGTTGCCATACGGGCCACCCATCAACCGGCCATCCATCCTTAGAGCTAGACCAAATAGGCCATGATCGGTGGGAAGAATATCTCAGGAAGTATCTCTCACTCTAGGACTAACATCCGTGGTTGCCCGTGATATACCAGAACTGACAACCAATGTATCGGCAGGGAAGTATGCTCGTGACGTTCAGCGGTGGCGGTTGTCAGAAACGATGAGGTTAAATGGAATAGTAGTGGCAGCGGTTTGCAGGCTGTTACGTCTTTCACATCTACCAGCAGCTGTCAACTAGATTGATGGCCGCTGACTTCGGATACGCGGGGGTTCTGACTGGGGTACGATGAAGGTGGTACTCAGTTAAGGACAAAGCTAGCAAGAAATTAAACCAAAAACACTGTGACAGTAGCAAAAGATAACCGATCTCCATGCTGAGTTCACCATTACTGTGAAAAGACGCAACAACGTCCAAACTTTTCTTCTCTAAAAGTTATAATACTGACAGAAAATTGGTCATCTCAGCATATCAGAGACACCGAACCTAGCATGTACCATGTATGTCTTTTCAGGAGAAGAAGGAAACACTAGGAGGCGGAGTGGCAGTGTTCATGACCAACCATTTCAAAAGTGAAGGAGCCCATGAACCTGCCGTCAGAGGTCTGAAACTACCTTCGGTGCCACTTCACTGCCACGCACATTAGGTATCTGGTGTAGAGGGAGTCTACCGAACCCTACTGGAAAAGCGGGGAGCAATCTGCCACTTCTCCAGATAATGTCCTCAAAGACAACTACATGGTCTGTCCAGGCCATTATAGGGGCCACTTTGGTGGCTCAACTCTCATCTTTGGGTGGGTTATAGTAATCTGGAGCCAGGCGTTCGACGGGAACCCACTTGATGCCATTGAATAAGTCACACTAAATGCGAATGGGGAATACAGTCATTGATGGTGGAGTGGGAACCTATCCAGATTGAAATATCTCTCTACTGGCGACCATGAGGAGGTGAAAACGTTCAGGTTGAAACCCCTCCAAGCGGCAACGTCCGTGGTATGGTTGCATCTCATCACCTCGCCCACTTTTTTGTTACAGCAAGGCAAATGGCATGGGGATGAATTAACACCTGTCGACAGCATCATGACTCATGGAGTGGATGACCCTATCGATTGGGTACAACCGTAAACTAGCGACGGACAGCACCTAGAGGGCCTTCCTTGAAAACGTCCTAGTACGTAAGCAGTGAACCCGAGGGTTGAACCGATGTGTTTGGCGTCACCCGAAAACCAAGAGGAAAGCATGGCATAGGTGGGAATTTCTTGAAACAGTCAGATCCTAGCGTGTATGTGGCTCCAAGGACTAGGGAAATTTCAGCATAAGAGGGAACAGGAGGTCTTCCCTGTCAAACTTTGACAGGGCTCCAGGAACTTACACCGACTCATGGTGAGGGGGAAGTCTATCACCTGGGAATCTTGCACTGTGAAACGCTGGAAAGAAGAAAACCCTTCTGGACCATGGATAGTCGAAGGGTTTAGTTCCACTTTTGACACAACTAAACATCCCATCACCCAACCAAAATTTCTAATTGCCTGGGCAATAGAAGTGACCCCCGGTGAGATCCTGGAAAGCGTATCAAAGCCCTATGCAAAAAATCACCTGAAGTAATTCGGCTGTCTGTAGTGGAACAATTGGGTCTACTATGCAGCTCATTCCAACACTCCCTAGACAAATACATGCTTCCATGAGAGTGTGAAACGTGCTATTCTCTTTCCCGTATTCAAAGGTGAAGACAGGAGAAACCCATCATCTCGTGCATCACAAGTAGCAATTCCGAGCCTGCCGCTTTTCCCTCGCCTTGTGAATGACCTCTCATAGAGCCACAGCGCTCTATAGGTTGACGATATAAAGAAATGGAGAGCTGTCCGATACGGAAACAGGCGAACTACCAAGTGACCCTAGATTGCTTGTTTGCATAGGGAGTGGGTAACAATAGGTTAGTATTTGACCTAGATAAATACCACACACTTTCGACTCACAAAACGTGTCCCACTCTCCCTGTGGTACGCGTCTTTCCCACATGACAGTGGAGGAAATCCTGGGATTTATGCCGACCAAAAAGCTAGGCACCTACTCCAATTACCCAGTGGATGCCTCCAGAGTCTGCACAGTACTGCAATTCGTGGCAGACAACCTGGTGCTCTCACTTGGGGACTCTTTCTGAATTTCTACTGGATCTACTTACAACTTCTCTCAGAGGTCCAGACGTCATTGCACCACCATACCTGAAAAAAGATGTGAACATCGTCAAGAAAACTCAGAGGTGGGCGTCCAACGGCATTGCGGGAGAGTTCCGAAAACACTATGAGGATAGTCTGATGAACCTAGGACTTTATGGCTTTGGCTAACCTAGGTTGCTAGGTGACTTACTGCGGCTTATGAAATACCAGACAGTCCAAGTCACCCGGAAAAGAGTAGCCCTACTGAATTCTAGCCGCATTAATCCTCGTGGTAACTCAAAGATAGCCAAAGATGGCCACCCAACATAGGGCAAAAACCCATGGGTGTCCGCTTTTTTCCATTCTATAAGTTTGCGGTCGCTTGAAGCGTTTGTCTGCCAAGATTGCTGCTGCTCCGTCTGTCAGCGGCTTCAAGAGGAGGTTGGACTGCTACGCACCAACGTACGGCTAGCGCTTCTCCGGATGGCATACAAACTAGGTCAATACAGCTAGCAAAGTCCGCACCATTTCGACGTCAACCCCATACTGTATCCTATATACCACCACTGTTATCGCAAACCTGAACCTGTCTCACCAGCTGTCAACTCCTGCTAAGAACATCACTATTTCTCTTCCCATTATCCCTACCACAGTCTTACTTGCTTCTCGCCCCCTCCAATCCTATAGTTTCATCACATTTACTGAAGTTCTCCTCACCACAGTTCTCTTTGCTGTATCCCCTGAATCCGCCTAGTTTTCTCTTTTCCTTTCGTTATGCTTCTCTTCAACTTGGTTCCCTCACTCCCTATTACCCATTTTCGTCAAATATATCTTCGCTGCCTCGATATTCTTCTCACAACCAGGCCTGACAGATGTCTGCTGAGACGGTTTTTCGGGAATCTATCTGTGCTACAGTCCTTGGGGAAATGTCAAAAATCCTGCAAACTTGACCAAGACTATGCCGCCTGTCGATTAACTTAGAGACATAGCAGGCAATTGAGTAACTCAGCTGCATTGGAATCCACCGAAGACCTGTAAGCAATCCGTATGGCCTGGAAGCAGGTGAGAAGGAGTCAGTTGGTGTACACAAGCTCATAGAAAGATACTGGATATTTCACTCATTTTGTATACACAGATACGAGTGATAAAAAGCCATCATTTTCCTACTCTCGCATTATCAATATTGGATTTGGATTGGTTACCTAGGGTATACAACCCGGAAACTGGTTTTCCATTTATTTTACATATGAAAGGTAGTTTGATGATACGTTATTCTATTCTATTACTAAATATCTGCAACCAGTTGGAATGTAGTTTTCAGGATGTTTTGTAGCATTGGATATTGTTCGGCCTTCACTCGAGTGACAGTTTAAAATTAATATGTGTAATTGTAGTTGCTCAAAGAGAATATGGAGATGTCGTTATCTAATAGCTTTCATGGCTTTCATGTGTTTAGTTATGAGTCATACTATCAGAGTGGGCATAAATGTGACACTCTTATCTATGGTTAAAGATTCAGCAAACGGCCATGCGCCAATCAATTCTTCGTACTACTGTCATGTCACGAAAATTGAGAAAAACAAGAAACCACAAGTATTTTCAGTTTTTGGTGAAATTAAATTACCTAAGATAGTGACTGGGGAATACAAATGGGACAGACCAACACAGGGACTCATATTAGGAGCTTTCTTTTGGGGTCATATTTTCACACATATACCCGGTATGTCGTATAACTACATAAATGTTTGCTCACTGTTGGTTCTGTTATGTTACAATCAACCATTTCAAATTGTTCGGATAACACTTGCCTATCTAAATGAACAAAAAGGGAAAGTACACATTGCACAGTGGTGCAGTTTAAGTGATGATTCGCTAACTCTCCACATACATATGAATTGTTGCTGTGATCACTAACGGTAAGGGTTAGGAAGATATTTCATGTGTATGTGGGACGTTAGTGAATCGTCACAAACTGCACTTCTGTGCATTGTGTACTTTCCTATTCTGTTCGTTGTTTCCGGGTGTATCAGTCTGATAGAATTCATAAATTCTTAAAGTTAGGAGAGTTGATGCTTTAAGATTACCTTTCGGATTAATTTTGGTTTTGAAATGTAATCACTTCAATTTGTAGACTGTTTATGGATAGTTACCAGGAGGTTTGATATCTACAGTATCCAATATCTGTTTAATGAGCTTGTGTAAACCATTTGGTTTCTTCTTGCTCGCTTCTTGGTCTTACGAAACGGTACCAGGTCTATGGCGGATTCCGATCCGGTAGATCCAGCCACTCGTCTTCTTAGCTTTGGTATACAGAACGGGAGGTTGTGTTTGTTAGTTCATCTTAGACTGTGGTGTAGTTGGCTCCTTCTGATGTTGAGTTGCCAGACAGTTGTTCGGACTGGTTGTTAGAGAGAGTTAGGGATAGTGAAGAGAAAACGTAGAGTGGAAAGTTTGTGTGAGTAAAATGGAAAAGAAAAGTGGGCTAATGGAGTAATCTACCTACATCCAAGTTAGGCGAAAAGGAGTGCATAGATATAAGGAACTTAGATAGGTAAGACTAACCCATGCCAAGTGGAAGGGATGAAAAGAGCTTAAATGGCCTCAGTGGAGATGAAACTGGTTGTATCGATAAAATAGTTGGAATGGCGTGACAGTCGTAGATTTGCTCTGTTTACTTCGTATTCCTGCTACATGTGGGTAGACCATGGGTCTCTGTGTGTCTGTCTAGCCTTTTCTTGAAGCTTTCAACACATGGGGCAGAGACTACTTCTGCTGGTAATGCATTTCAGTGCTCGCAGACTCGGAAGGAGAAGAAGTGTGAACGTACATGAATTTTTGACCTTTGGTGGGCAATTCTCTTAGGGTTTCCATGAGGATCATCATAGTGGCCACTCGGTAGTAATCCTCTGTTCCGGTGACTTGAGTTGTTCAGTATTTTGTTAGCCATTATCAGGTCATCTCGTAACCTTCGGTAGCTAAGAGAGTATAGGCCTAGGTCTTTAAGTCTATCCTCATACAATTTTCGTTACATCCCAACAACCCCTTTTATGACATGCCTCTGAACTTTCTCCAGTAGGTTCGTGGCTCTTTTAAGATGTGATGGCTAGTAATGTGGTTATTGATTACGTTTTAATCTTGTATGCTATATCGTTTCAAGTTTTTCAAAATGGTGAAAAGGAATAGATAAGATAGGTTGAATACTCTTTTTCTTCGCAGCCTTAGGTTTGAGATATAGGATGTGAAGAGTTAGTGGGTTTGGAAGTGAAGACATGAGATTCTGGTTAGTTGTCCAATTATGTTTTGGATTGGTTCATGTTCAAAAAGGCAGTTTGATTCATACTTAACAATATAACAGAATATGTCAAAGGGAGCAAATATGATTCTGCAGTGTTTACAAGAATGATATAAAGATAACTCTTATGTATCATAAACTGTGGGGAACTGAAATTGATCTTTCTAGTTCCGAAAACGTAAAACTCAGGTGACTACATATGACATCACTCAGTTGGTGTTCGAAAACATAAAATGTCATTCTGCCTGTTAAGCAGCTTTGAGTTAAAGACTTGCTACTTCTGTAGGTGAAATCTGATTCCTCTTTGTTGTGATATGTAATATGAAATTAGTTAGGACTTACAGTATTAATTTTTTGTCCTAGTTTCAGGCTCTTGTGATGCTTTTAATGCAAGTCTGTAGTTCAAGTCTGTGATGAAGCAGTTGTCTAATATTTCTTAACCTTCAAAGATTTTAAGGTTTTTACTCTATGATGAAACATTCTTTGATTTGTTTCTCACTTCTTAATTTGCTGGTAACAGCCAATCCTTCGATGATTTCTATTTTCAGTAGTTTTTAATTGTCATGTTTCTTTATTGTCTTGGTTTAATTTCCTAACAATTCAAGAAATATACCCTCTGAGTGATTCAACATCAAAGTTTCTGCTGTATATTGCATAGAGCCAGCCGTTTCAGGAACCTCTGCTGATAAGTAATAGATCGTTAGGTTCATTTACTTACTGTGGTGCTCAATATATCATATGAAATTGAAACTGAATGTTATAATACTTGTGCAAATAAAGCTAATATTTGCTCTCGTCAGGTATACCCATGCAACTGATTATTTTCAATTTCTCTGAGCTGAAAGTGACCACTAGTGCAAAAAATATGAGGCCGTAGATTTTTGAAAAGTTTCGTTTATGTTATATGTATTTACTAAAGACGTTTAAGATTGTGCAACTTCAGCGGAAACTTGTATGCATCACTGCATAAGATGTTTTGTGGGTTTATTGGCCAGTATTAGCAAACATTACAGGAATTTTTAAAAAATGAAACTGAAAGATCAAGGTATAGAGTTAGTTCATTATTCGTCTGTTTATGGCATTCAGAGGTTGTCTGTTCAGACTGGTTTCTGTTGCTGATCACTTTGGTCTATTAAAAGGAAGTCCTTTGGCGATAACCACAGAGGAGTCATTCTGACTGACATCGTTTGCACAATCTCAGGGTAAGTAGTTATCCGATGCTTAACTGGGTCTCAGAAGCCATTTGTGAATCGATCTTGTACGAAATTGGAAGATGCACAGGCCAAACACTAATTATTTGTACTTACAGAACACTCACGATTGCTGGACCGCCAAAGAACAAAACAAAGTAGCCAGGTGGAAATAGTATGTTTGATCGATCGTGCCAGAATACCTATGCGTTCTGACTAACTGGCACAAGATTGCGTTTGAGCAATTCAACTTAACCCTACAATGTGACACATGGCGTGGACGCTTGGCTGTGTCTTCACCTTAGTCAGCCTGTCAAAACTATGACGGTCAGCAACAATGTTTAACCTCACCGAAATATATGCTGCTGATTTTGCTACAGCCATGTACTCAAGAAAAGCAGACAAATGGTAGGCATTGAGGAGAGTTAATTGACCAGAGTTTTACGCTTTGACAGGTTCTGATACACAAGCATTCGTAATGACACCCAGTACTCATCATATTTATTAACCTGGTTGTAACTTTGGATTCCATAGATATTGTCAACCGGTGTTGTCCTATGACAACGTTCACTGTCACTACTCATACGTCAACGTTTTACATATGTGCTGATGAACAAAACCTGGCGTACGTCAAACTTGTCACAGACCTACTTACTACCCTGAGAGCACCAGCTAGATATCCAAATCATGCTGTCCATCTATCCGCCCTGCCCTGTTGTATAGCTGAAACATTGATGTGTGAAGTAGTGAATATCAGAAGGCTGCAAGGTTCTTGAATACAGATGTCTTCCCAGCAGCTCTCATGTTTGGTGGAATCACCATGTATCAATGTACTAGTTGGCAAAGAAGAAAGGTCAGTCGATAACGTTGTTAAACTTCACCGATCGAGGTGGATTGGATATATGCTGCAGGCTACCAAGACACAATATAACTCTCCACATAATTTTTTGTGGGTAAGATTATGTTAAAAGAAAACTGAAGGTGGACAGATGATGATTATAGTGGAATACTGGACTATAAATCTTCGACTATTGATGTGTCCAGGGTAGAGAAATTTAAGTTGCCTGTCTAGAGTTTTCGAGGCGAGAGTAGCCAGTGGTTTCAGATCCTTGGTGATACGCCTCGAAATTCGTCGTAGCAGCGTCATCAACTTCGTGACCTTGAACTACTTTTTACCAACCCCTTCACATTCTGCAGTGAAGATTGGAAACATAAAGTGATATGTTTTCCCATGAAGCTGTATGTTATTCCGTATATCTCTCTGCTTAATTTACAGTGTGAGATCCACAGCCGTTAAACCACGCTTTTACGTTCTATACGAACGTTTCATCAGAAAGTCAGTTATGCTAAAGTTATGTTTACTCTTATTTGAAATTATTTTATCTTAAACTAAAACATTAAACTGTTTTAATACCTTTGTGGGTTGACATTCTAATGCTTGATAACATGTAGTGGCCTATCTCTGTCAAAGTATTTATGGTACAAACAGCGGGTAGTCAATTGAAAGTACCTAACTTGTTCCACTTGTTATTTAGACACAGTGTTCAAAATTCTATATGTAGGCGAGTTTATAATTTTCGAATGGGCTATTTCCTGCTACAAGTCCTTGAAGTAAGCTTCTCAGTGGTAGATGAATCATATCCAGTCATCATATTGCGAAACATTTCATTCACGTTTGCTGCAACCTAAAAATAAATAGTCTTTCAATGAGGAATAAATATTTGTACAGGGTCAGTGGTAGAATGTACCTATGTTGATTGAGTTAGCAGGCAGTATGTTTTATATTTTATTATTTATCCTCTATCGTGAAGTGAAATATTGACAGAATGAGACACATGAAGAGCTTCACGGTGACCTGACTGAATTATTACAATACAACGTTAGTAGTTTCATATGAGATTATTCATTGTAGATACTTTGTTTCTATTTCCTCAAAACCTGGGGATCAATAACGCCTTTTATGTGTTTTTTTATTAATGGCACTAACTTTACAATCTAACAGAGGTTAGACTGTTTTGTCGTTTTATAAGTACAGTTTTCTTTTTGGCAAAGAATACGCACATGTTTTTCCTACTTATGTTGTCATTCTGTAAAAGCAACTTTATTTTAAAGATGATCAGTGTCAGATACCGGTTTTTCTAGCCACTAGTTTTTAAATTTTCTTTTCACAAAGGTGGGCTGCTATCAGTTAAATTTGGTCCAAAATGGGTGGCATTCTGTAGTATACTTAGTTGCGGTTTAGTGGAACTATGCATTCCAATCTCAAGTCATTTAAGTTATATAACAGTAATTATTCTACGCATGATTGAAGGCTTGTTACTGGTAAGTAATAACTTCATGTAATATGCTCCAGTTAATTTGACCTTCAGTACAACTTTAATATGCTAAGTGACCTTTCCAGGCTATGAACAAGAAACTATCAGGAGTCGTGGGGCTTCAATTAATGGCTATATTTCTGGATAAAGATCATTCTTTGATCGGTCATAGATACTCCTTGCTTCCGAGAATCACTAGACATAATGTCTATTTCATAACATGACTCCTTATTGAGCGATCACTTCGGTCTGATCAACGACGGAGACTTACAAACAATAACATCGAATCTACACAATGTCTGTCTCTCAGGAAGTAGCTAAGTGGCCTAGTGGATAACGCTGTGGCGCTCAAAGCGATTGGTCCCGGGTTCAAGCTTTAGTGGAAACAATATAGCTTGCTGAGAGGCAGGTACGTGCAGCTGACAAGTTTTGAATAGGACAAAACGCACGTCCTGGACTCCACTGCTAGCAACTACTCATCATGATCATAAATGAATCTTTTCTGATTGTCTTCCGTGAGTCATAGGCTAGATTAAGCTCGTTGTGGCTGACAGTTGGTTGATTTTCCGAACGTACTGTATGTCCTGTTCACGATGTCGGTCAACTTTCAGAACATACCATTTTTTACTTATCAGGTATTGTATTGTTCACACTTACAAAATATAGAAAATATTTACTCCCCTTGTTCGAATCATTAATTTTAGTTTAATAAAGGATAAATTACTCGATGATCTTGTGAATATACATCAGCCAAAGTAGAAACGATATGTGTTACCCGTGGAAAGCAACCGTCTAATTCAGTATTCAATGTTGTCCAGAATGGTATCACGTTCGAAAATGGTAGAGGCCACAAGACAAGTACAGATGGCTAATTCCCAAGGTGATTAGTTATGAATCTCATTTATTTAAAGGATTGTTAGCTATCTAGATGAGCTCCCAGAGATATTAGGGATCAGGAATTGAAGATCAATAACAATATGACTGAAAATTAGCTACATGGTTTTGCTGTTCCAACTGTTCTATATTTTCAAGTTAGTACTCGTCGTAGACTGACACCAGTTCTATATTAGTTTTGCTTGCTGCTATATCTTGAACTATTCCCAATATTTTTCACGGTGCACTAAGTCCGGTAACCTAATCTGGTGATAATTGACTTGCTTGTGGCTTCCAGTGGAATCCAGGACGCATATCTAGTCCTATTTGGTACATATCAGATGGATTTACCTGCACCCCAGTGATGTTGTTCTTACTGAGACTCGAACCTCGTACCCACCGCTTCAAATGCTGAAGCACGATAGCCACCTCTTATTCAGCGGGTATTAGTTATTATTATTTGTTGATACTTGTTATTCCCTACTGTTGTATTAAACCGTTTGAAGTGTTTGGAGCAATGGGAACGACATCACTCTCTGTAGTTCAGGTGCATCCGGTTGAAGAATCCTAAGTAGTACGAAACTAGCTCCCTGGATTCCACTGCTATCTACAGCCAAATCACTTATAATAATAACTATTCAACCACTATCAAAACAACCGCATAGAACCCCATTTACCAATAGAGGTCGGTTAGTTCGACCTAGTATAACAACGGGCAGTTATAAGTACCAACCAGTAATAATAACTAACTTGGTAAATTTTCGTGCAACGCTATCTCTATCACATATAAAAGTGAAAAAATAAAAACATGAAAACAGGATGTGAACGACATAAGATGACTATTGATATAATGAATGTAAACAATAAATCTTTCTTCTCAAAAAGTCATTCGGTGAGTAAATAACTACGGGACAAACAGATTACCATGGAACCAGTATTCTCTTGATTTTCAATGCTTCTCTGGTTGCTCTGAAATGTACTCAAAAGTTCTTTAAAACTAATCAATTTCTGAATATATTACTAAATTGAATAATTATTTTGTTAAATTATCGCATAGAATCAGAGTATTTTCGTTTACTATTATTGAAAATAATATAATATACTAAAGTACACTCAGTAGTGAACAATATCATGAGGATGAATTAACTCACTATAATCGTCTTGTTATTGCATTAAAATTAGGTGAAAAGTATAATCAATAATTTAGTATTATTGTGTAAGTAAATAATTACCTGATTATTCATCAAATTGTTCCAACGTAGTTTCGACCATTGGTCGACACTAGTTAAAAAACTCTTATGACTCAAAAACTACTAAACAGCTGTTACAAGAGCAGTTCAAACCGAAAATCTAATTCAGAAAAATATTTAGGAACATCAAATCTTATTGTAAGCAGCCACTGGGCTGGAACCCAATAAATGACATTTTTCAACTTCATCCGCAATCAATTTGATAAACAATTAACTATTATCACAAGTATTTATCATTCGCGACTTCTGTAATTAAACTTAATTGGTTTTCGCTTAGCTTATATTCCTTGTACATAGGATGGGTATGATACACTGGATAACATGAACACTAAGTCTTCTAAAATCACTTGTCTGTAACTCATGTGTCGCTTGTAAATTTGGCAGTGATAATTTTTCGCTGCGATCTATGATGAAAATAGTATTACATTATTGTCTAGTTACAGAACAACAAATTAGTCTTAAAAATTTTATTCCTAGAAGTTATGAAACTACAATGATTGTTAGTTAGAGATGAGTGACATAAGGAGATGATGTGGACTGACACTAGGAGAGTTAATAGGTGACTCTAAAGGCCACCTTAGCAAAACTGAAATAACCAATTCGACTCTGTTGTTTTATGAAAATCTGCTTTTCCAAAGGAAATAAAGAAACCTGATTGACTATTTCAGCAGTTCCTAGGGTCCTTTCGAGTCACTCGTGAATGACACCTACAATTAGTAAGGTAACTGATGGTTTAAATTCGCTTCTTGAACTAAGGTTTCAGTCATCTTTTCTGCGTAAAAAACTTGACTATAGTGTCAAATTAGTGCTCATTTGAAATTATTTATTCGTTTTATATAGATTATTGCTACTGTGAACTTATTTTGGCTAGGTGGTTTGAAAAAGGTGTATGGTTTTCTTATCTGAAAGTATCTCAATATCCTGTCCTCAAATCAGTTAACAAATCTTCAGATCGTATGAGTCTGGGTGACTTCATCTTACATGACTATGAAAAGTATCCGACAATCATCTTTATTGTGCGTTACCGTTTTTATTATTAAAAAGCAACTACATACCAGATGCATTCTTTGTTTTACCTGTTATATAAGGCTAATGAATTTATATTTTAGGGTGCACTATCACCGGCAATCGGTTGTCTTTTGGGGAACTGGGCACCTCCGGGTGAGAAAAGTAGATTTGGCTCGCTGATTGGTTGCGGTAAGTAACAGAAAATACTATTATTCAATACCGATTAAGAATAGGCTGAAGCATATCAGTATTTACCAGTTAGAGTTATGGTATCAATATGCGTGTGTCTAAACTAAATTTCTGCACAAAGTGATAACGAGTTTATCTTCCCTCCTTCTCTTCTTCACATTTCAAATGATGCTTTCGAAGATTGTTGAAAATGAGCTGGTGATTTATGGCTTTTACCAAGCTGATGATTTTGAATAGTTGCAAAGTTTAGAAGTTTTCTGAAAGAAAAAAAGAAAGACTACACCATAAGATGGAAAGGAAGATTATTTTTTGTGATATATTTTCATTTCAAGATTGTATATATTTCATACTAAAGACTACCAACAGTCGTGTAACCTAGGTCAAGCTGGGATTCATTCATTTTGACCAGTAACAGAGTACACAGCCCAATGTTGTGTATTAGACTTATTGGTCATGTTTCAAACTTGATCGACAACTTTCTATTGATCAATAGGATCTGACAGTCAGAAAACCTGCTTATCTAATTCTTTACTGTATTAAGATGAATGCTAACCGAAGTCTTTAAACCTACTTTCCGGTACGACCTTCAAACTGGTTGACTCTATCTTGCAATTCATTGTACTCAATTCTGATGTCAGTTGGTCAAAGTCAGTCACCAACATTCTATCAGTTTTAGGCTTATTGGATGTTATCCTTTAGATTACTTCAAACTATCCATTCCTATGGTGGCAAAACTTTCATGACTTGTGGAAACATAATGGACCAGATGACATGAATGTCACTGCATATACAGTTCTCAAATAGCATGATAAAATAAACTGAATTCAACGTTGAATATCCTATTGCTAGTTATACGATACAATCGAAAGGAAATACATAAATGTGTTGGTGAGAATGTCACCAGTGCAAAACTAAAGAAATCTTTTCTCGAGTTTCATGTTTTGAGTAGGTTCGATCGACTTCAACCAGCACTTATAGCCAGGACGTTGAACTTGTTGCCGTCTGATGATCAGTTCGTCTGCTCAGTTTAGTGCTATAAGGAAGAAATACTAGTTATAGCAGCTCTAATTTTCATACCCAAGGATTTTCATTTTCTCTAGGGCTAAAAAAAGCATAGCTGCTGAATTCTAAGTTGCGAAAAACCCCAGTGAAGCCGATATTCTCGCCAGCTAACTCAGAGATTGACTTTGTCAGCCGTTAAGAATGCTTTCGTTATTAATATATAATAATAATTATTACTATTATTATTGTAATTGTTGTGGTGACAGTTCACTATCCACGTCTAAAAAATAGTTAGTCTTCATTAATAAGGTAGCATTCGTCACGGACTGACATCATTTGGAGAGCCAGTGAAAACCTGGTAGTACTGGACAGCTGTTTCGTCCTAGTAAAGGATTCCTCGGCAGTATGCACTAACGAGTGGGCCAGGGATCCTACGAAAGACCTTCAAGTTTAATACTGAACGTAATAACCATTCAACCACTGTGTCGGAGTTCAATAGTCCAGAGTTTCATACTTCTGTCAGTTCCACTCATTGGCTGAATGGTAAATGTGTTCACAGTGAAACTTGAACGTCCTGAATTCAATCCCTAGCCAGGTCATCGGTGCGTACTACTAAAGAGTCTCATACTAGGACGAATCAGCTACCCATTGCTCGTAGGTTTTCAATGGTTTTCCAAGTAATGTCAGTTCGTGATTAGTGCTACCTTAAAAATAAAATCCCCACTAACCTCTAAATACAATATAATCTTCATTTTTCCTATAGGCACACAGTTGGGGACAGTTATCGGACAGATACTTGCCGGTGTTATATCTTATCCACGATTGGTCGATTTAAACACTGAACCACAAACATTCATGTACATCTCCTACTGGCCATACGTTCATTATCTATTCGGTGTATTAAATGTATTATTTGCTTTGTTATGGTCTGTTATTGTCTATGACAGGCCACAGAAACATCCATGGATTAGTAATAATGAAAAACAGTATCTTATCGAAAATATTTATAATGATGTCAATGCAATTAATACAGTCAATCAAGTAAGCAATTAATTACATAATCTGTTGTTTGTTATTAATGGAAGATGGTCAACTGCTCTATAGCTTCATCGGTGTATATTTACTTTTATTATTCATAGTAATGGTGGAAGTTGAGAAACTTAAAAATTACGTCCTGAAAAATTGCCCTGATTGTTATTATCTCCACGCAAAAGAATAACTACTACTAATAAAGTACTGTTGTTAAGTCGTCAAAGGCATAAATTACTTGCAGCTTGATAGCCAGTGGTCATTGGTCAACATTTACGTCCAAGCTGAAAAATCTTTAGTAGCTTACTTCATGGCTAAAAGTGGAATGAAGGACGCGCGTTTCATCCTATTCGAAACTCATCAGTTGCATATATCTGCAACTCAGTGAGTCACGGTGTCTCAACTGAGACTGGAACCCTATATCTACCATTTCAGGTGCTAAGGTGTTATCAGTTGGGCACGAGAGCCACATCTTGTGCATCGTGTGTTATTGCTCACTAATACTTGTCATTTTCGCTTGCTATACAGGGTTGAATTGCTTGACCACTGTTGAAAGACCAGCTCGTAGAGGGGTGCCTCTATACTGCCTGAGTATTCATTACATTGTGGTTTATTTGGCGGTTACCCAGGGAATCCAGTACTTGTGTTTCGTTACATTCGAGACTCATCACTTAGATGTAGCTGCACCTATAAAGCAGGTGACAAGTATGTTGGTGATGAGTGATGAGAGTTGATTTCTTTCACGTAACAGGAAAGTAGAACAGCGAAGGTTAGGTGCAACATTTGCTCTCTCTCTCTCTCTCTCTCTTATATATATATATATATATATATATATATATATATATATATATATATATTCAGTCAGTAGCTCCACACAAGAAAAAATAAATGTCGCTGCTTAATAAAGCATTTTAGGATTAAAACAAGAACATATTCTTGCTGTATTCAGACTTCTTTTGTTCCAAAGGATACATCGTAGGGGCATTTTATCATAACATAACTTACACTGATATTATAGGTATTCTTCGATCATCCATCCTAGTAGATGCTGAAAGATCTCAATAAAAATAGTGCAGAAATAGCTTTTTAGTGCTACCAGGTTTTCAGTGGTTCTCTAATTGATGTCAGTCTTTGATTAATGCTACCTTAAAATAAAATTACCGAAAACCCCCCATACTACATTACTGTGCTCATTAGTGAAATGCTTCAAGATAGAAATCTCGGAGTTCTGACGAGAAGCTATGACCTGTTCGGTCAGCCGATTAGAAGTAACGTGAATGCTAAATGATGACATCCGTCGGTAGTTGCGCTATATCACCAATGGATAAGAGTAGGAGACTTGCGACGACTGAACTGCGATGTGGATGTATAGCTAACATTTTACTCGTCAGACCCAGAGATCCTGAGTTCGACCCCTGGCGGAGTCATGTGTGCATACTGCTGAGGAGGTCCATACTAGTACGAAACAGCTGACCAGCCCTACCAGGTTTTTAAACAGTTCTCCAGTTGATGTCAGTTCATGATGAATACTAGCCTGAAGTACCAACAATATCATGATAAATAAATAAAAACAGACGAACTGTACTTTTTTCACAACCTCTAAAAGTAGAAATGAACAAAAGACTCTTTTAGTTAGCGTTTAACGTGTAATGTAGGCCAAGGGATTTACTACATGGAGTCAAGAAGTTATACATGATTTACAAAATGTATGGTATTAGGGAATAAAAGTGTTACCATGTTAGTAAATATGGCCAATGAGCAAGTAACTCTGGGTTTCTGTGGACACTAAGCAGCAATTAAACATCTTGTTATGAACTCATTAACCTTACTGCTTATAGGTAATAATGTTTGTGTATTCGGTTTCAGAAGCTTCACTGCTCTGCGTCTACTGTATTTCAGACTGTCAATGAAATGCTTTTTAAACGTAGCATAGGAGTAAATTGTGCTTAATAGACATGTAGACTGCAAAAATATATGTGAAAAAAGTTCACACCCATTGAGGATAGAGGCAGGTAGAGAGAAGTTGTCAACCATAGCCAAAAGAGAAAAACACCGTGAAACATCTTTCCCATCACCTCTTTACAGATAAACTGTGGTTTTTTTCAATCTGCCTTGACATAAAGTTTGCTGATATCCATTTATCTCCGTAGTTTATCTAATCTATTCATCAGGCGCAGCCAGTAAACTTCCTATTAGAAGGAATTATTCTTTGTTTAAGGTGGCAACTAGTGATAACATTTCAATATGATAATCATCTTGTGAATGATCTCATGGTGAATACTTTACAGGTGATAATTTGACCGGCAACCTAACTTGAGTTTTCAAAAATGAGGCTTTTTACATTCGTTTAGGTGTCGTATATATTCCAGCTGCACAAGCAGGTGAATTTGTTACAACCGTTATGGGTAATAATAGAGAAAACATGTCAAACACAAGGTCATAGTTATGTTTATTACTCTCTTGTGGCATAATTCTGTACTGAAGGCTCCTGAATGCATTTGCGTAAACCACCTGTAGACAAACGGGCTAGCCTCCAGGAGATGTCTATTGACTAGTGCGATAAAGTATTTATTTCTCAGGTTTATTCTTCTGCGATAAACTAAATGGTGTAACAAACTCAATACTACGCTTTACTAGGAAAAAAAACAAAAGGGAAGTCATGAAGAGTGGAAAAAGGGACTGAATATGATGATACCAACTCTAGTAAAAAAAAATAGAAGAAAACATTAATCTGTGACAAGAATTTCAAGCAATTTTTCATCTACAGTAGATGTGCTATGTGTATTTTATGAAGGCTTTGGTAGTGCTGAGCTACATACTTATCCATAGATAGAGTGAAGGTTCAATTTGATGCACCAAAACTGAATGTTTATTTCAACAAACCATAGGTTTTCAATTTATCATATGGATGATATATGGATGACAAGGTGAGAACTAGTGTATACCACTGAAAAATTTCAATTAGAGAACCTACATTCCCGCTACATGAATCATGGTGTTCTTTTTCCTTGATAATTTTCTTAAGTCTTATTAATTTACCGTAAACAAGCGTAACAAACTCGTTATTCTACAGAATAAGCAAGTGTGGTAGTTCAGCTTAGAAAAGAAAACATGAGTAAATATTTAGAGTAGAGTAAATAATATACACTCATTTTGATATTATTGATAAATAGTGGAGGAGGATTCAGGATGTCCTAGACTCAAAAATTGAAAGATACCGGGAATATCGAGGCATCCACACAGGAGCCCATATACCAATAGTGGTGGATTAGTTCGGTCCAGTCAACAACGCAGATTCACAAGCTATAACAAGCTACAAAAAATGAACTCATTTTGTTTCCTTAGTCTTTATCAACTACTCACAATCTATAACTTTTAAACCTCGACTTATAAATTTATGTTCATTATATATCAATCAATCAGTGAATGGATTAGGCTAATATTATGCTGTAGCGAAGGTTATTGACAAACTGGTCTTATTCCAATAAAATTCACCTAGCTGAATAGTATTGCTTTTTCTCTTATAGAATGATTAGTTTCACCGGGTATAGGTATTGTGTTGAGTGTCGAAATGCACTGACATTTATTATCCTGTGATATTCTTTTATAAAAAATGATCAATTCGCAACTAAAAGTCAAACTTTTAAGCATTGATAAGTTGTCATGATGTGTATGTGTCAAAAAGAAGCATATAGACTAATAGCGGAAGTGATATGTACTCTTCACTTTAGTAATTTTTAATTCCACCTGACTGTTATTTCTTATTTTTCTTCCTAATTAATTAATTATATTCAACACACATTTTTTTTAGGCGGAGAAACCAAATATTACTGATAAAGCAGAGAAAAGTATAGAAAATGGGAAAATGTGAGTCGTTGCAAGTTGTCACAGTGAACGTTTTTAAGAAGCTATTTTGTCTAAGAAAACAAATGTCAGCGTTAATACGATAAAGACATGTTACTGAACAACTTTAATTACTGTAAACACCTTCAAAGACAAGTTGTACTTATCTCATAGATTGCAGTGTTTCAAACACCAGATGGTTACCTCGAATTCATGGTGTACGGTGAATTGTTTATTTAACTTCAATTCATTCAAATTGAACAGTTGAGACGGCCAAATTACTATAAAATCCTGCCTCGTCTTCAACTCAAGCTATGTATGATTCATCCAAGTGTTTTAATCAGCTACAGGTTTGTGGCATTTATTTTATACCTTGACATAGGAATCTGGGTAGTTCAGTGACATGGATGATTTTCTGAAGAAATGCCGAAAATCTTACAATGTGGGTAGTAATCTCGGACACGTTTTCAAAGACTATACCAATAGTTATTGCACTGAGTCCACCTAAATCACTCAGTGTTCCAATTAATGTTAAGCTTTGCAGTTGACAATTTTATGCAACGGTAAGAAAAATAGTTTTGTTTCCTTGTTGTCTGCTGTCATATCATGACGTTCCAGGTAAGTTCTTGTAAGTTGAGAAATTCATCTGTTTCTCTTGTTCTAAAAAAATGGATTTGGGTGAAAACCAAGAGTGGTCTCTTTTGACCTTCATTTCATGATCTTTTTGAGAAGTAATGCACACAAAAGTAATGAAGGCCTCTATAATGTATTTTTGGCGATTACCTCACCTTTTCTGTTCATTATGTCACATCTTTCATCTCCTTGCTCACATACAATTTTATGCTCATGATCTTCTGCTGTCTTTTGCGGGCAACACTAGGTGCCCAATACTGTATGAAGTACTGTTTCGGATTGGATCGGCAGATTTTAGTCAGTGGCCAGCAGTAAGGAATAGACAATTCTGTTAGTTATCCACTAGTGAACAATTACCGTATACAGTCCAATCGTTCAGCAAGTCAGTCGTGGCCTGATGAGCTAATTGGTTAATTCTCTGACCTCAGCGCTGACTGATATGGGTTTAAGTCGTCGAGGGAAAATTAGTTTTCTCATGAGTGCACATACGCCTTGCTAAGGAGCGCTAACAAGTACGAAACCTTCATCAGGTAGGGTTTTATGCCGATTGCCTCTCAACATATAACACCATCATATAAATAAGTGATGAGAACAGATGAATAATGTCAAATCGTTGAGGGAAGCATCAACTTCACTTGAACAAACTATCGGCATTTGTCGTATGTAAACCTGAGTATCATCAGCTCTAATGCATTAGGTTACTGTTTTCCATAGACTCACTTTTGAGAAGAAATTCATTACAGTTTTCAAAGCAACACTCAACTTACTGATGATTGATTTAAAACAAAAATGTTAAGTTTCATAATTTTGAAATAATTAGCTAGAGAAAGATGTAGTGAACGTAGCGTAGCCTGTAGTCGGAAAAATAATCTAAGCTGATGGGTCAACATTCACTATCGAAACGATTTTCAACCACAACATGACTAAATGAGTAAATTTGCTGAAAAGCAGAAGAGAAGTGGAAACATTTTTCAGTTTTTGTTCATTTCTCTTTACTCGTATCTGGCCCCAGTCAAACATAAACTGAAACCCAAAAGCCAGAATATTTCATAGCCGACCACTAACTAGTATTTTACTTGGCTTGGCTTTAAATTAATCACTTTCTCACCTACCAATTTAGTGAATACATTTTAAAAGCCTCTAATCGGCTTATAAAAATGGTTTTCATTCAAATTATGATATGCTGGCATTATTCGATTGTGTTTTCGTTTGTTCGGTAGCAGTTTTAGTCAAATGATTTATTAGGCTGAAAGTTTCTTCATGTTGATCACGGTTCACTGATTTATTCAACAAGTAATTCAACGCGCGAAAAGGGCCAAACTCATTAAGGCCTTCAAATTTCAAGGGGCTTAAATGGAAGATGGATGATACTAATATTTTGCCATTTGTGACTAGACAAGCAAGGCTTACTTTCAAACAGTGATGTTAAAGATAGGTTGCTTAGTATCCGTTTAAGAACCAGTATCGGTTAACACCACTGTTAGGAATATCTTTGGTATGTGGTACTGAGGTCGCCACTTATACTTATTTTCTATCACTTGTGATATCTGATATTAATCATCATATATCATTCCTTCTACTTTGAGATATATGCTAACGAATTTGGCATTAGGATTCACCGCGAAACCTGAACCTTCTGATTTTGATCATTAACAGTCCCCTGAGTGCGCACTGCTGAGGAGTCTATTACTAGGATGAAACAGCTGTTGAGTGCTCCCAGACTTTCAGTGTGTCTCCAAATGTTGTTCCTCACTGATGGATACAAATTGAAAATCAATAAATCTCCCAGAAAACCTCCAAATTTGATTGGACACTGTTTGATATTCCAGTTATTTTCTCTGTTAACCCATTTTTTAATTCCTAAAAATATAACAAAATTAAAAACAGATATCACGTAGTTGAGGTGTATAACTACGTGTTAAATGTCACTTAAAGCATTGGAAACTTTTATGAGTTAGTGTAAGTAAATACTCTGCGGAATAATTCGTACAGATTAATGTGCTTGTGACAATGAAAAGAACAAAATGTTTTATTTCCGGGGAAAAATATTGTTACTCAATGAAATCTACGTAGACAAACAATTTTACTTGTTTTGTGTAGGTGTGCGTTCTCAAATCACTAAACTTCATGAACGTACACTTTAATCCAATAAAAAGTCACTTTTACATGAAAAATATGAGCAAGTAACAAGCAGCCAACGGGAAATAACACGAAGTGGAGTATATTGTCAACGGATTGTTATCAATGCAGAAACGGTTGTAGTTTTATACACTATGACTCTCAGATAGAAATTTTGGAAAATAAATGTTTGTAATAGAATGTGATTTTCCTACAGCTAAATGTTCAAAAATTACTGGTACTTAATCGTTCAAAATAGTCAGTAAAATTTATCATTACTCCTCTTTACTAATCGACAAGAAAGGCTTGTAAACTCAAAGAAAATTACGTCCCTGGATAGACTCTAAAACCACACGTATCATAACCTTCTACAGGGAGCCTGAAGGATAATAAAGCTATCGGTCTAGTTTCTAGCATCTAGTTAACTTCATAAGCGTTTATGAAGTCTTCTCTCCGGTACCATATTTTAATTTGTGGTTTGTGGGGTTGAACATGGAATATTTTGAGTTTTGTAGGGGATTGGGAGATTTCAAAGTGGCATTCATTATGAACTGAAAGAATGCAAACCTGCGCGCACTAGACAGCGGTTTCATCCTAGCAGTGCGCATCCATGACCCCACATGGGGTTTTGATGGATAACATCTTGGAATCAATCAATTTACATAAAGCACTAGACTGAATAACTGTCTATTGCTTATGAGTGACACTCCTCGAGGTGGATTTCTTGAAGTTGTAATGAGAAGTCATGACCTGAGGAGTCAATCAAGTCGATTGTTTAGAAAAATAACCACCGACGGCATTGGATAAAGGTCATGCTAATATCGCGAATTGATAGAAGTAGAAAAACTGTGGACCGATGGATTTTGGCCCCATGGTTGAATAACTACATACTCACTTCGAAACCTAAAGATCTTAGGTTCACTCTCCGGTGAAATCATGTTTGTACACTGCTGAATCCTGAATAAGGATGAAACAGCTGTCCGCTGCTCCCAACTGGGGCCAGTTTGTGATAACTGCTCACTTAAAACCACTGAATGGTTTAAAGGAGAAAGTAATTTTCGCGAAGTTACAAACATGCATTGACAGCAAGTTTTAGATGTAGTAAGCAGACCATTAAGAAGTTGTAAACCCGTACTGCATGCATTTTGTGACTTATCAGCAAGGCGTATCTACACTCTTGGGTGGGCTGAGGTTCTCTAAAAGATGGCAATACTACTAAGACCATGTTAACATTTGTTTGCAGTAACTGATTGTGAAGTTTTCGCTCATAAGTTCACTGTTCTTTGCCTGACACTTAGACCATAACTATATTTAATCTGGACCACAGTTTTGAAAAATATAATTAACTGTTTATTCTAGTAATGGAATGACATTTATAAATGCAGCCACTTCTTCAACTGTCTCATCTTTTGACGTTCATCCATTTGGCTTTAAGAATAGTCATCATTTTATGGTGATTTAGCTGTGTAAAGGTCATAAGTGAAATAAAGTTTCGGTGAGCGTGCTCGGTGATCGGTTAACTACACATCACCCGCCATGATTAACACCTACTAACAAATATACGACACTGGCTAAACGAACAGGTTAGTTAAAGAATCTCTAACACTTGTGAATCGTTGAGCGAAGTTTATTTTCTTGTTTAAATTAATCAGTCATTGTCACACGTGACTTATCAATAAATCAAAATCGAGATATTCAGGCTTCCTGGTGGTCACTACACTAGCTTATAATGTATCTACGTTATCTTAATTCAATCAACTGCATACTTGAGGTTTACATCAACGGTTTGTTGGATGATAATCAAATGTTCACTATCTATTGACGATTCAAGAATGAATTTCATTCTCTTCTGGATGAAAGTGAATGGTCGTTCACTGTTAATGTTGGTTAGTTTTCACGCTGTATCACGAGTTGCTTATTGCTGATAAAGATGCATCATTCACACCTAGAGCGATTACTAACTGATAGTGTGGTTCATCATGACGTCTGACATCTTCGAATCAATACCCTTCAGTGATTACTAAAGCTGATTAAGTTGGGTGGCCAGGTCAAGATGTGACACTAGTGCATGAAGTCTCTGATTGTTGACGTGAGCCAAATAGAGAGGTGTACACTACCTGAATAGGGTCTCCGTGATGATAGGAATCAGTGATTGAGGACTCTTTTTGAGGTGGCTGGAAATCGGTCACACTAGTGCAGATGTATTCTACTCACCTTTTGATGTCTTCTGAAGCTCGAATATTTTAACTGACCTTTGTCTTCAAATTGTTCCTTCCGTCATATATCTTTGTCTACTGTGATTTCAGTTATTCCCATGCACTTGTTCTTTTTATACTACTGTAAAGTACGGCAACTTGAAGTGATGTACTTGTGTGTGAGGTTCTGCTTCGATTTTATCTGTCTAATAGTTCTGCACAAATAGGAACAAATGAGTTTTCTAGTATCCTGAGGTTCCATATGCTAATTCATCCAGTATCGATCGCTGATTATATAGTTTCTAAACAATGAATGTAGCCGCTTGCGTAATCCCGTCTTCGATTGGACCGAATTGACCGGTCTGTAACCGATCATTTCAAACACAATAACGTTATCCTCTAGGCCACCTGGTTGGTCCCGGATTCAAGCCTTAGTGAGAAAAACATCCCTTGCTGAAAGGTAGTTATACCCAGCTGGAGAGTTCCAAATACGGAGAAGCACACGTCCTGAATTCCACTGCCAACCATTATGCATTCTTACTAACGAGTATAATGACGCAAGTTTCCTATTTAGGTTGATGTGAAATCATCGTATTCATCTAAAAACAAGCAACACCACCTGAATATCGGTCATTCATATCTGATCATAACCTAAACCTTTTATAAACTGTTTTCTTGAAAAGAAGTAAAACAATTTTATACAATTTTCCTTACTACTTGCCTCATTTGTTTCAAAAGAACGGAATCTCTGCCTCCTAACATCTCAGTGGAGCAAACGCAATGGGAGTTCTGGAAATTCTCAGTCCCATGGAAAGCAATATTGCAGTCAAAGAGTGTATGGTCCGTACTAATTTGTCATTTTGTTTATGATTGGGGATGGTTTACTCTAGTCACATGTATGCCAACGTATTTGAGCAGAGTTCTGGGATTCAATATACTTTCGGTAGGTTTCCTTCGCCTACATATGAATTTAACTTCGCTTTGAATTATGGCTTCTTTTCAATGTTTACTTTTGAGATGTTTTCAACGAACCATTTAGATTAAATGAACAATTTAACTGAATGAAGTAAAGGCTTGAGGACCAGCTACATCATACAACCCAGTTGGTGGATCTCTGGGTTGGTCAGACAGACGCTACTGATTTGAATTCTACCGCGGTCAATTGGTCAGCCACTAGTGACATATGACCTCTTATGTAGATGCCTGAATGTAGCCGGTTTTTCAGTTTTATGTTAATGATGGATAGTGGCTTGGAGTGGAATCTGGGACACGCGCCACTTGGATGTACCTATTTCTCAGTGAGTGATGCTGTCCCCACTAGGACTTAAAGCCAGGACCACTGGCTTCAAATGTCAGTGAGTTATCCACAAGTGGGGACAATATCACGCACTAGGAGGTGGGTACATCCAGCTGAGTTACCCAAATCAAACTGAAGGCACATCCTGGATCCTATTCCTAGGTAATGTCCTTCTTTAATATTAATATATTTATTGTTTACAGATTTCATGATCTGTATCAACTATTGTGACAGCTGAGTTCTTAGCCATTCACTGATGTGTTGAAGTTTTACTTTTGGCCACCATTCAGTCAGTATGAAAGGTTGAGTTATGTAAGAATCCAATATCGTGGACTAATCGAATCTACGGAAACATGAATCAGCAACCACCTGAACCATTTGAAAGGAATAGCTAAGTAGATGAATTGATTTTCCTATCCATGGTTCAGGTCATCAACCTAACAAGATCATTCAAGAGGGGAGATTTGTTCAAATGGCCTTAATCTGGTTAGTTCTCTGGAATGGCTAAGTATGTTACAATGAAGCTGAATTCAGTGCTGCTGAGTGATGTGTAATCTGCTTCCTGATGTATTGGTCCAGCAAATTTTCGTTCTCTGTTATGCATCTGAAAGCAGCCAACCAGAAGTCTTACTTGACTTTGGTGACCTGTTTGTTAGCACCCATCTACAAAATATGAGTTTTAATTTCAGAACATGACATCTCTTACACCTAATTGTAATCAACTGGTATAAAGTATAATGTACAAAAGAGTTTGACTGAATGGTTTACGAACATTTGAAACAATAAGAACAGTTTTTATTGTAAGCACACATTTACCGGAAAATTACTTAGAACAATACGGTATCGATCATCTGTTCCGTTCGACCTTAGGGCTTGTCAGCAGAGATCACTATCGAAGCCTTGTAAAAAAATTCAGGATTTTCAGGAGTCAGATAAGCACTTATTCCATTCATTAGCTTACATAACATATAACAGTAATACTCCGAAGAAGTAGACTGTATCTTAAGTAATGTGGTTTGAGGTTTATAGGGATTTTTGGTCACACTTCAGTAGAACTAAAAAACTACTCAGATAAAGGTTTCAGCTAGTTGAGGAAGATTGACAGGAAGCCCTGGACCTAGGTTTCGTGCTTGTTGGCTCTCGTTAGCAAGGCATATCTGCAACCTTGAAGGGACTGACATCCTGTCTGAGATTTCGACCCATGTCACCCGGTGCTGCAGTCAGAAACGTGGCTAATGAGCTATTCGGACGGCTACTGACCTCCTGTAGGTCTGAATTAAATACATTGGGTGGTCACTCGAGAGTAACCAATCCCACATTGTCTAAACCTAAGTGCTGACCGAATTCAGTCCAGCGTTTCGTAGTGTAATTACCAGTCTGAAAGGCTTATCAAAGCGGTGTACTCTTACAGGTGCTAGCTAGTTAAAGGCAATCAGCAGGGAACTTTATTCAACCTAGATTTCGTGCCTACCGGCTGTCGTCAGCAAGGCATGTCTACAACCTCAAAGGAAATGAAGTCTCCTCTGAGATTTAATCAAACATTGCTTTTCTTGAGGTTGTAGATATGTCTAGCTGACCAGTGGCAACAAGCACAAAACCTAGTTTAAGCAGTTGCTCCTGCCGACTGTCTCCAACCAACTAGCACCCATTATAGTACACCAAAACTGTGAGCTTCCTAGCTTGATAGTTACACTGAAAAATGACCAATAGAATTCATTTAGTACTCAGGAACAGACAGCTTAAATTTGGTCGCCGTCCAGTGGTCAGTTAATGTAAGTATCCAGATATATCAACTCCCCTAGTATCTTTAGCCTAATGTAACTGAAGGTGAGAAAAGGTATTACTTCAGGTTGACTTTTGGAAAGTATGTTAGCTAGTGTGCTTAGTCATTCAGTTACACTCAAGTTTGCTATTTTTCTATGGGAGTGATATTTTAAAGGCAATAATGAGATTACTTTCAAAGAGAATAAAAAACTGAATTTTACCAACCAGTAGAGTCATGATTTAAATTTTCTAATTTCCCGTTCATTTTAATGAGCTGAATTGGTTAGTATTTTTTGGTGAATGAAAACTTTTGTGAGGTATAGACAATCTTGCAATGAGTAATTCAATGCATTAAACTTATAAAAAGGAAATTACAAAATCTAAAAGTGGTTGCTCATATGAATCTTTAGTTTTGTAAGTGAAAATTTAGTGTTTGATACGTTGGATACTGTGTTCTCATGTGCCAGTAGGTAGTAAGCAAATTTATCTTACAACTCCTAGGTGGCATCATGAATTCTACGGTGAATCAAATGATGACATAATTATAATCTTTATTTTAACATTAGTTATAGTTTATTACATGGACTGGAGATGCCGAAGTAAGTATGCTGAATATGGGTTATGAATGACTAGTCACCACTTACCCTGATATGCAATGTTAACTTCCGGTGGAAAAAGTTAGCAAACGCTCAGTATGAAAGGTGGTATCAGCCTGCGGATTCTGTGATTGTTAGTTTCAGTTATGTAGGTAAATGTAAACCTCCTGGTTTGGATTCGTATGATAATGAAATCAGCGATTAGAGGCTGATATAGCTCAAAGTTGGCCACACTGGCGTAGATGCTTCTGTACATTATCTTTATCCTAATTGTCAAATCATACTTGGTCGTTATATCAATCCCTCTTACTCTCTTGGTGTGAATTTCTTAAACTTACATTTTCCCTTATTCCTCCGTCATTCATCTTACTGATTTGTATCTTGTTGTATTGATATGAGGTATGACGAAGTGGAATGTTACAGGGCTGTGCCATTTCCCACGTTGATGGTGACTGACTAACTGAAACATACTCATTCAAAAATGTGAGAACAAGTTTTGTGTTGTTGATAAGTTAATATTGGACTTGTACAAATAAGATTGTACGTAGAAATATATTTTCTCCTGCTATCTAGTATCGAAATAACTACTACTTTATATTAAATAACAGTGCCCTTTTTTTTTGCTTTTCCTATTTTTATTACTGCTTAACCGTCATTATTGAAAACAACATCCTCTACCCACCGTCTGGTTTCAACGAAACTTCATAACAGAATTCCTTTTTATCATCTATACCGTATATCGTGCAAATTGTTGTCTCACTCACAGTTGCTTTCTTATCAGACATTTTCATAGTGCACAAATTATTGTCAACAACATGGATAAGACGTGTTAATAATTTTATTGGTAAGTCTATTTATTTTACCTTTGTTTATCTTCTCGAAAATGTATCTTTGGAGCTTTTAAATTGAGAAATAAAAGTTGAATTCTGATAAGATTTGAACCATTAGACGTGAAAACTGTACTTCTGGTACCATACGAAATAAATTGAAAGAGCCAGCTGCTATTTAGCTCCTGATTTATTTTCAGTCACCGATGTCATTCATTCGACTCTTATTTTAATAAACGATATGCAATTCAATGTTTTGTATCGCACTAACTTCCTAATGATGTCTTCTTTCGCCAATGGTAATTTAGCTGGATAGGACAGAATTACTCACTAACTGACTGACATTTTTAGTAAGACCACTTGAGATATTTAAAGTTGCTAGACAAGTCAGGCATAATGATTCATGTTGAAAAAAATCTGTCTGGTGAGTAGAGTTGAAAGAAGAAGATTCTAGATTACTGGTTGCATAGTACACAGAAAATTGTACTCCAAGACAGTTTTCATTGCTCAGTGAAATCATACAGGCTACCAGTGAAAAGCTGTAGGCATTGCAAAATGAACTGTATGCTTTCACAACTTCGCAGGAGTTGAATCTCATGTCCATAAGGGAGATGTAGAAGCATTGCCTTGTTTATGTAGTAATTTGAACACGAATTATTAAGTAAATGAAATAGGCATATATATTTAAGCTTTTTGACAATAGAATTTACTTTGAGTGTTTAATGGAAGACATCAAGATGTTAAGAAGTGTGACTGATCACATCAGTTACGGTGGGAATTCAATGAATTTCTTCCACCTCTGAAGTGCAGGTAGCGTGTGCAGAAGAAACAACCACTGTTTATGGTTGACTAACGTTATCTCGTTTGTAGATGGTTGTTAATTGTTTATTGAAACGTCCAGGTGTTTGAGACGATTTAAACCGTATTTGAGTTTCTTTAAGAATATCATCACAACGGCACCTAACTGATGAGTTTCAAATGGGACGAAATGCATGTCTACTGTTGGTTACTATCGAGGAAATAACATTCCAACTTATGATTGTTCCGCTATTTTTCAAAATACTTGTAATCACGTTTCATTAAATGTGGCATATTAAAGAAAGCGAAATAGTTGCTGCAACACTTCCAAGGAATACGATGAACCACCGAAATATAATGAACCAGGGTTCATAGATTTGTAAGAAGAAGAAGCAAATTGGTTACAGAGATAAGGTTATATTGTAAAAAATTGACAATGGCAGGACAAAGTGTGGCATAAATGTCTGATATCGCTGACTATTTGACTGAGCCATATAAGAAAGTGTGAGTCTCCTAATTGGTGATTTTGAAATGGATACTGACTTTGGGTGATATATCTCTAAGCCAAATGCAGTGACTTAAATTGATCTTCTACATGCCTTCATTGAAATCTTGGTAATTTTCCAGTCTATGATTTCCCCCTCTTAACATACCCCATTGTTTGCTTTTCGGCATTTCGTTCCTCCGTCTATTTTACTCTTGACTTTAGTCCTCGATCTGTTTGTGTAGTGTGTAATAACCAGTGCTGATGCGCAAGTATACCTGGTTTTATGACGTTCACACCTGTTTGTATGTCTTCTTAAAGGTTAGTTTTGTCATTTCTTTGCTCATTTTATGCCAATGCATTGAGAGGACTCCACTAACGTGAATCTAAATGCTTCAGAAAAGCTAGGTCCTATCATAGTATTTAAATGGGATAAGGTGAGTAGCTTAACGGCACAACTTAATTAGGCATATCTGTTTTCTCGAAGTGCAGTGGATCATCGGTCCAGACAGTTGACTTACAGTCAGTGGGTCATGAGCTGGAATTCAGCCCCATCCGTCACTGTTTGGGGAGTTGGGGAGTTCTCACAATATGTCCTGCTCATTGCTTGGTGCTCTAAATCGCACTCAGCATCTCAGTCGAAGATGTTTTCATTGCATCATTCTTTTAAGAGTCACAACACAAGGTTTATAATTTATTCTTCACTTGTGTTCTCTGAAATGAAATGGTGCCTAATCAATATAAATTATTATCTTTTGTAGTCCATTGCTCTTGATTTCACCTACCTAGTTTGTTTAGAGAAAGATTGTATGGTTTTAAGACAATGTCTCAAAATCACACCCAACAGACATATACAAGTTCTTCACATGGGCTATAATCGAAATATTTTATGAAATTGCGGGTAGTTAGAATACTTAGTTAATGTGAACTAAATTCATTAGGTTGGGTTTAACATTTGACCTTAAATTCGCTGCAAATAATAGTTATTGTGAGTGTTAACGTCCAGATCGCGGTTGTTACGAGAGTCACAGGAGTGGTTGAGCGCTGAATCTGATTTACTCATTATAAGAGTATATTTTAATATAATCTGAACGTGTTTAGTTACTGTGGAGACCAGCGAGTTACCGGCTCGGTGATCAACTGCCAGTAACCCAGTGATTACTGTCTCAAATCCCGCTGCGGTCCAAATCTCCATTTAACCTTTAACCATCACCCAGTATCAATACAAGTCTGCTAAGCCACGGCTGTCTTAGATAGTCAGAATGATAATTCCTAATATGTTTATAGAACTTTTATTCAATGTCACTGTCACTAAAACAATAACTTTATTGTGCAGGTCAATGTTACCACCTGAAATCGGGTAGATTAACCAACTAGTTGGCTTCAAATATGTTAGTAGTGTCAGTGGTACTTAAACTTAAAAGATCAAGCTAGCGATCCGGCTGCTACATTGAATGACTTGATTTTTGTGTCATAATATGTGAAAGAATTACGTTAAAATATGCGACAAAATGTAAAAAAAAATGATTTAATTAATTCTCAAATTTGCGTAAAACTCGTCTGTTGGCCACTCAACTTAATTGGTAATATTTTCCACAATATTGTACAGAGTGAGCTCAAAAAAGGTGCATAAGGAGAAAACAACCAAATCAGAACAACTCAAAGGCGAGAAGAGTTTAACCAATAAAATGGGTACACAAAAATATTCGAAAACACGTAACACTATGAAGGTTATATAAATTAAAATTTAGTTAGATCACAAAGAATAGGTAATATTGTACCATTAAGTGCCGGAAACTTTAATAAAACATGGGAACAACAGGCGATGATGATACTGATGATACAACAATGGTAGACTCAAAGATCTACTTCTTTTGTACGTAGAGGTCGGAATTTCAGACTAAAATTCTATGGGATTTAATGACTGCAAGAATTTTCTTGATTCATTGGCTGCTGACCACCGTTAATGAATTGAAACTATTAACTTCACGTTCTTGGTTCAGGAGATGGTTCATAGTTGAGCTTCTTGGATTTTCTTCAATCAAGTCTTAACCATTTAGATGGGGACATACAGGCACAATTAGACAGCTGGTTAATGTACTTGCTTCTGCAAATAAACTCAACACAATATATGAGATTAGAAGTGGTGAGAATTGGCCTCTCGTCTTTGAATGAAACAGAAATGTTTGTGATTTAACAGTCTGTGATGCAACATGAAATTCTTCAAGAATACAGATTTAACTTGCTGATCAGTGACTGCAAGCAGAAGGTCTCTTAGCAGAGAGATTTCTTTAACTGTTCAACTGTCAGAATATTACATCGCAACTTGACTTCAACTTCTTTAGCTATTGATTTGAAAATACTTTTTTGACTCTGTAACAACCCATAGGTCAACTGCAAGGCTGTGAATATGCCTTTTGGAGCCACCAGTGTAGTTAGAATACACAAATAAATGACATTCACGGGTTTAAGAGAATGATTAGTACATGAATGGTATTTTTTTGCCTCAAGTTGGCCGTTTACTGGATACAAACTGTGAACTGAGACGAAATATCAACTTTATACTCTCTAGTGCAGTATAAATCTTCTGAATTAGAGAGGATTCAAGCACCTCTTCGAAATACTTCCACTACTCTCTATAAATTCTTATTCCTTTTTTTACTGCTTGTAACTAAGACAGAGAATATTCGGTTGATCCAAATATTTTATTTCCAGCATCTTTGACTGGAGCATTGGATGATTTGTCTGGATCCTTAGGGGATATCAATACTCATAAATTCACCGATACGACTCGTTGACGACTGGCTGTAAGCATGAGATGTAGTTATAGGTCTTCCTGTCGATTGCTCCCAACCTCCTGACACAATATTCTGTTTCAATGCTTCAAAGCGTTTCAAGATATAGTAGTAGCGGTAACTGTTTTCGTAAAATTTGAGCTAATTATCAGCTCACAGACTCTTTTATTGGTACTTTGTTAATTAAGTAGCTAAATTACATTCAAATGTGCTAGATCTTTTGCTTTTCACGTCATATTACTTGCGAGTAGTAAAAAAAAAAATAATGTTTTAACATTTTTCAGCAGCCGAAGATTTATTCACAATGGCAGCTTTGTATGAACACCAAATTTTAAACAAGATCCCAGTTAATGCTGAAAATAAGAAATAGTTCTCTTATTACTAAGATTATATCTGGATAACATCTTACAACAATATCAGTTGGTCTCATGGTGATCCAGATCAGTGGTTTAGCTTTGACGTCTCCCAAAGCTTGCACATTCTGACGAACCTTTATTTTTAAATTCCTTCTTTCTCCTCTATACACCTTTGTCTATTTTGATATCGGTCTTTTCCTATTCACGTGTTCTTTGTATGCTGCTGTGAGGTGAGGCAATTTGAACTGATACAGCTGTAAGCGAAGTTCCATGTTGATCTTGTCTGTCTGTAGTGTAAACAGCATCTAGTTTGGATGATTAACCGATGTCTACTTCGAAAATCAATGGCGACTTCGGCAGGATTAGAATAAACTAAGATTTGAAGGTCAAATTAAAAACATGAGCTTAATCCAAATAATCTCTGACTGTTAGTTTGAACCGTGAATATAAGTAGGGATTTTTCATCTAGAGCCTTCTAGATGATGTTTATCAACAGTTAAAGGCTCTAAGCGGTATGCTTCATAATCAACCACAATTCTGAATGCATATGTATTCCTTTAACATATGGAAATTTTAGGACACTACATCATGCTTGATTTATTATCTCCCCTTTTTCTCATTGTCTTCCTAAATATATAGATACGTTTCTGTGTCAATTGATCTGGATTGCTATGCTTTTGTATGAGATCTCACGATGCTTTGTTTCTGTGTGTTTCCTCAATAAAAGTAGTTCACATGTATTCAGTTGTATGCGTAAGACAGCCAGTCAAGTTATCTTTGTTTGACAGCACTAAGCGTCACTATCTATCAAAACTATTTGGTTGTATCCCTTCACGAGGCAAATGAGTGGGTTACGTATGCCGACAGATTCACTAACCGCTGATGCAACTGTAATATAAAGCATAAAAAGGCAACATATTTTAGGATACATAAAATATTTGGGGGCGGCATTCATCACAAAGTGATATCGGTTGAAGAACGGCTAAAAATCAGTGAACACTGGACAGCTGCTTTGTCCTAGTATGAAACTCGTGAGCAGTGCCCATCCATGACACTATAAGGGGTTGACCCCAGGAGCATCTAATCCAGATAGCATGAAACTGGTTACTTTTCAGTGACAAGTCAATAACTCAGTGTTAAGATCACTGATTGGAGCATCGGGTGACGCCAGTTTTGGTCCCATAGAAGACATCAGTCACCTGGAGGTTGCAGATAGGTCCTAATGATGAGTGTTTCCAAGCGCAAAACCGGAGCCTGAAGCTTCCTACCTATTGGTTCCAACCAACTAACCGTCAGTTCTTACAGGCAGCACGTTACTGCTCAGGCACTGTGTTAAAATCCAATAACCCCCATTGTCCTACTTCTGTCAATTAGCAATATAGTGTAGCAATCACACAGTAACATTGACGAAAATTGGCTCCTCACATCTGACTAAACTGGCTGCAAAGTCGTGACTTTTTACTAGAATTTCGGCAATTGCATGATAAAACAACTCACTGGTAAGCACTGGAAAGCAGTTTAATTAGTAATTTATGTGAATCGATTGACTTGAAGGTAGTACTCATCACGGACTGACTAATGCCAGTTAAGTAACGCAGAACATTGACAATGTGTCCATCCTGTATCTAATCAACTTTTCAGAAAGATTGATTGAAACACATCAATGCACATGTATACACTTTTCCGTTATTACTCATTGTCTTCTGTAAACGAAAACTTAGTTCAATTTAGGCATAGAGAAAGGCACCACGAGGAGTGATCTAACAACACTTTGAGGAGAAAAAAGGAAAAAGAGGAGAAGGTCTGACAAAAATCAAAGAATCAATCCCATTAGATACGTTTAAGAACCTTTAACTGGCTTTGTATTTCCTTTCACAGAAATATGACGCAGAGAAACCAGTACGAAATCACCTCTAGTTCTGATTCTATATTATGTTTGATAACTTAACCCAGTCAAAGACTTTAGAATCGATTTAAGAATTAGTAATGCACCTACTGATGCTAATCCGATGTAATTATCCTCCATTCTATGTTACAAAGCCATACGCTGACCAATTCTCCATAGTCTTACTTTAGCCGTACGGTAGAAAGATGGTGAACAGCATGGAAGCCACTGAGATCTCATTTGTAGGCAATTCTTCATCAGCTTTTAGCCTTAATTTCATTATGAAAACACTCAGACTTTTTTGAATGCGGCGCATTTCACATTCAGATGAAAATAACAGGAACAGACAAATCGAATGGCCATGGGTTCTCCCGTTTTTCCTGTCGTTCCAAATCTATTCACTTCTTGTAACATACTAAATCCATGATCTCTACTAATTCTATTAAGCCATATATCAGATATGTTGACTATGCATCTGTAATTTTAAAAGGATCATCCTTGACAACGTTTTCAAGACAATAATTAATCCTCATTCTTCACATATCAAATTCATATAGGAATATGGAAGTGAAATTGGTGAACTGCCACTTCTAGACTGCTCAGCCAAAAGGAATGCAGATGAGAATCTAGGCTTATCAGTCTGTCGTAAACCAACACATTCAAATCGATATCTTAATTTCAGCTCAGAAAACCCACTTTGTGCTAAACTTTCAATTGCTCAGAACAGATTCAGATGGGCTACAAAGCTGTTCGCAGATAAAGGCGACAGACAAATGGAAAAAAACAGCCTAACAGATACTTAACAATCCAATAACATTATTCGCAAGATTAAAAACTTGAGTATAAGAATTGAAGTGGAAAATCAGATAATGAGTTTCGGATTAATTAGTTCAGAAGTTCTACTCTTCCATCTAGGCGTAACTGAAGAGTTACAAAGAATTTTAAGAAAATACTGAATCCGAACCTTCTACTAGGCAGTCAACACTTTCAGAAATGATTTGTTTCACTTGAGAGACAGCATTTCCGTTATCTCCACACAGAATCATGTCCACAGATTAATGTGTTTTACTTGTGACGCTTATTATATTGGGGAATCACACCACGAAATCCTCATTTGTCCAAATGGGCATACAAGCTGTACAAAACAATCTTCGAATAGTCGCAGAGAACAGGCAAATTTACAAATCTAATCAGCAATTGTTGTTCTTGCCATCCTTCATAGCCACAAAAGTAACATGAAAAAAATCAAAATTATTCAAACTTAACTTTCATACTCCAATGATAAATGGATAGCTAAGATATTTCACATTATGTCGACTTCTAATGCACTTAACGGAAGAGAAGGCTTAACTGTACAAGAGACTTGGATAGAACATTCAAAGTAAAACGTTACTCACAAGAATCCCAAATAAAACAAACAGTTTTGATGCTATACCTATGACATAAGGAATGTCTATCGTGAACCAGTGCCTTAGTGGGTGATACTCTGGCATTTGAATCGATTGGTCCTGAATTAGACTCTTTATGGGGACAGCATCATCTATTAGAAAGAAAGTACATTTAACTGAAGAGTTCCAAATTGGATGAAACGTGTATTCTAGATTGTACAGCTATACATCGATAGTAATAAAGTGCATACCCAAACGCAGACACAATCTGAATTTCTCGTTCGTAATACTTTTCTCATACATTCACACGTATCCATAGGCGCTCACACATTCACATCTTTCTTTACCTTGACCTCATGGACCAATAATAAGTAATAACGATAACATTTATTCCTATATTATTATCATGTGTCATCAACACATGATGTAATTTATCTCCAGTATTTAAACAAGTTATAGCTTGTACGGGTTTTATTGTCTGAGGGAGTGGCTTCCATGAAGTCTCAAAACATCACAGATTTATTTTTCTACTTAACTAGAATATCACAAATATATTTCCTTCTGTCTGGAATTTTGTCTTTAGTTGCATTATGCAAAACAATATACCAAGATCTGATGCTAAATTCTCCTATTTTTTGATCATAAATTTTGGTTCATTTCCACTCTTTTATTCTGCTATATCAAGCTTTCCCGAAACATTGTTTCGAAACCAGCATTTTCGGACTGTTTTAAGTAAACCATTCCTATCCTGCTGTTTGATTGTAAGGAGCATACATTCACCTTGCCTGTTGATTTTATGAGATCGTTTCTACTGAATAAAGAAACTGAATGTGATTTCCCCAGCAGTGATCTTGAAATCCTGGTCATATGAGAACATTTCTAGAGAAAGAAGACAATTTCTCTCACTTTTAGAACTGTCATTGTCTTAAGGGGTCAGAATGAACCCTAAGTTTCACTCAATGCACTGTGGCACTGGATATAGAAGTACTCAGACATTATTTCCAGTCCCAATAGCCTCTTCTGAAAGCATTCTGTTGCTTGAACTACTAACTCTAACCCATTTTCAAAATGTCTATAAGATTTACTGTGAATCTTCATAATGTTAACCTGCTCATTACCAGAAAGATATGTTGTTAACTGCCACTGAACAATATAAACCGTCAGAAAGTGAATACATCAATCTGCGAATTTCATGAGAAAAATTAAACTGATCTAAATGCTTAATAATTCTTTAACTCATTTAAGATGTAGCCTGTCAACATTGTACTTAGATTCAAGTGTAGGAAACTGTGATGTAACAAAGAAGTGTACTGTCCTGATAGAATATACCATAGGACATCAATATAAGTGGTTATAAACACACTCTGGTCTATAGATTTCATTCTTATCATTATTTTCAGCCTTAGCAGGACTTGGAATAGGGATAATTTCTGTTGGTCTTGTTGGATGCAATGCATATGTAGCTGTTGGAATATTTTCCGTAACTGTTGGTCTAATGGGTTTTTCGGCAGCTGGATTCTTTTCAAATACTTTGGATATTGCTGCACCTTATGCTGGTGAGTGATGTTTTTCAGTCTTATTTTTTTACCTTATTTACTAGTAAAACAGAAACAAAACAAGAAACCAGAGACACTACAAAAACATTATTATTATTTTTCCCTTGGGTTCCTAGTGGAACATAAGGATTCAGTAGCACACCTCCATTGCACTCTGTTCCCTGCAGCCTTTTCAACCTCACTCAACGACTGCCCATAAGCTTTCATTTCTTCCTCACATGATCTCCTCCATATCACCCTTGCCACGGACGCCCAACTCATCATTTTCCATTTGGATTCCACTCGACTGCCTGGCCTGGCGTGTGATGTCTCCAATCGGCCTTCTCAGTGTATGCCTAATCCAATCCATCTTCAATTTCTTCTACTGCATATTCGTTGGGTGATAGGTTCTTGTTTGGTTCGTTCCCAGAGTTCTTTGTTGCTTATTATTCTGGCCATCTGATCGTCAATGTCAGTATCGAGTGAGCGTAGGCGGCAGCTGTTTATGTGATGAATGTCTGTAGTTTGTAGAAAATGCTTTTCGTAACGCGCCAACTCTCTCAACTATCACATAGAAGCACTGACTTGACTGACATTAGTGTTGAAAATTTGGATGTTGTTCACGGTTTATGCTGGGTGCAGTAGATCAACACACTGATTTCCGATCCTGGTTTCGACGTTCTCATCTGTGTCACCTGTAGTTGAAACGATGCTGCCTAGTTAGGTGTAGGTGAAAGGGACTACTTCCTTTAGATTTCACCCGTTGATGGCAATTGGTGCTTGTTGTTGTTGGTCGGCTGTCTTCATCCCCTCCGTCTTCTCTACATTCACTTGAAGTCCCGTCTTCGCTCCCTCGCTTCTTCTGTCAACTTGTTAGTTTTCGCCTGTAGATCTTCGAGTTTGTGCCACAAGACATTAGACATAAATCATAATCGGCGAAATCTAAATCTTCTTCTGGGGTCTTTTCATCGATCCAGCCAGCATATGCCCATCTTCTTGCTCCACACTGTTTGCTGCATGATTTAGCCTAGTCGACCACAATCAGGAAGGTCATCGGTGATAGTAGGCGGCAGCCTTGTCTCACTCCTTTCTTCACTTCAAAGGCACCACTGATCTTTCCATTGTGAATCACTCGGCATGTAGCATCTCATAGCATGCAGCTGTTGAATAAGGTTAATAAAGTTTTGTAGCACTAACACCGAACTGTTGAAGCAGCTGTCTGGCAAATTACTTCTCGATCGATGCTGTTGAAGGCCTTTTCAAAATCGATAAAGCTGAGGTAGAGAGTTGACTGCCATTGTACTCTCTGTTCTATGATGGTGTTTGGTGTAGCATTGCAATTTGATCTGCACATGATCTGTTCTTCTTGAACCCAGCCAGTCAGCGTGTTTCGGTCGTAATTTTGAATCCAGCGTATTCTTTAGTCTCTCCAGGATGATGCGGCATAATATTTTGCTTGAGGTGGACAGCAGCATGGTTCCTCACCAGTTCTTGCAAAGAGTTAGCCGACCCTTCTATGGAAGTTTGACAAGGTAGCCCTTCTTCTAATCAATCGGCAGGCACCTTTTCATCCTTCCAAACCTTTCACAGTAATGATGTGAGCGTATCCGCTGTTGTCTCTGCATCTGTTTCCAGTGCTTCTGGCGGAATCGCTTTTGGTCCTGCTACTTTCCCGAATTTCAGCAACCATATGGCATTTAGGACTTCGACTTTCGTCTGACGGCCTGTGTTAGCTGAAAGTTCTGACGTTGCTGGCTGTATTTCTGGACGAGTTGCAGTAGGTGGTGGTGGTGGTAGTCGATTCAAGAGTTTTTTGAAGTGGTCATTCCATCGTTTCCTTTGTTTCTCCTCCTTGGTTACCAGCTTTCCTTCATCATCTTTCGTTGGTTTCGTCTGCGTTGATCTCTTCTCAGGCAGTAACATGGTTTTCATACATAATATTGTCAGGTCGCTCCTACCAGCAGCCTGTTCTACTTCGCTTGCCAATGTGTCGTAGAAGCGTGTTTTGTGTTTGCCTGCACTCTTTTTCACCCCTTTGTCCAGTGTAATGTTTTGTAGGTTGTGTTCCGTTCTTCTTTTCGTTGTGCATCCCTGCACTGCACTGCACTGGTTCATCTTCTGCTTCACCATCTCCCTCTCCCTCCTCTATCAGCTTCCATGTGTCCGTCGAGATTCATTCCTTGTCTTCTTTCTTCTTCCTTCCTAATACAGTTGTGCAGGTTTCTTTCCATATAATGGTCGAAGAGTTCCCCAGTGTTCTTCCACACAGGTTCCTTCAGGGATGTTGCTCAATGCCTACTATTTTGTGTACATTGCTTTCTGACGTGAAGATGTCGTTTGTAGTTTCGTCCTTCAGTTTCTGTTCTGGATGTTTAACTTGAACTGTGGTCTATCACCAACCTCTGTGAAGGCTTTCAACTTGATTTGGAAGTTAGGTTCCTTGCACTAGATAGTGAGTGGTGTGAACCACCTAAATCTGCTCCCCTTCTTGATCTGATCTTGTGTCCAGTAGGCTGTCTCCACTTTATTCATATTCAGATGAATTCGATCTGATTTTCAGTGTGATGTGTGTGTCCGTCTTGTGAAGTTCACGTCCCTTTGTTAATATCCTTGTGTTTGCGCAAACAGTTCTCCGTTCTCATTCTTTTCACCGAGTGCTTGTCGATTCCTGATAAGTTCTCTTCCTGTGTTGTCCCCTCCGATTTTGTCATTCATGACACCCATTACAATTTTGATGTCGCCAACTGGAATCAGGTCTTGTCCAGTCTTGCAGTTGTCTGTAGAATTCCCCCCTTCTTCTCTTCATCTGCATTATTTGTAGGTGCATAGCGTAGCATTGTATGATTGTGACTTCGCTTCATTCCGAGTTGAATCTCACTGTCATCATCCTGTTCCTGATCGTGGAGGAGATTGGTTCCGACTACATGAGAGAGAATCTTCGATGCTCTTGAGCGGAGGACATCATGATAGCCACTCCAAGACTCAGTGTGCTCGTGGTTGTCGTGTCGTCCGGATGACGATATCGGAGTAGATTATTGACTCTCCATTTGACATTTGAGGAAGTCCACCTCCATTCCATCTGTTGATTCCACGTGGATTCCTATCACTTCTATGCTACACCTTCTCATCTCTTTGACAATCTGGATAGCGTTGCTAGGTTCATAGATGTTGTGGACATTCCATGTTTCCATGTTTACTTTCGCTTTCATCGAAAAAAGAGGAGACATATCGGCCGACTGGCTTGCCAGAGGTTTTCCGGGTAGGGTCGTTAGCCGTATGCCCAACCTTCCGTCTTTGTTCGGGCTTAGGTCCGGCTAGTAACTACTGAACTAGTTAACTAGGCGAGGTTACGTTCTTTAGAAATTGTAAGAAAACTATGACTAATATTAGTAATGCATGTGTTAATAGTAGTAGTAACAATGTTATTAATCATAGCGGCAATACTGTGATGAAGGAATTCAAAACCTCTACAGTGTTACCGTACCGAAGAAGACACCTCAGAGATATTACGTAGGATTCTCAATAAGGCTGGCTGGGATTAGAATAGCATTTAAACCTACAATCTCACTGAGAAATAAGCTTTGTAGGTTAAAAGACCCTATTCATTGAATTAAACGGAACAGCTAAGTTTACCAAGTCCCTTGCCATAATTGCAAGGACAAATACATAGATCACACTTGTCGACCAGGATCATTTAGGCTGTCCCAGCACAAAACCGAACTAGATAAGAGGCGAGAGATCCTAGGAAGATAAGGAATTGTGAAACTGGCTCAGCCATATCTATGCATGCGATTACACGCGACCACCCAATAGGATTGGATAGGGTGGAAATCCTTCAAATTAACATAGCAAGGTGGAGAGAGAGAGACTGATAACTGAATTTTCGCCTATCGAATCAACACCAAATGTATGCAACAGGAAGGACTCACTATCTGTTCCAGATATGTGGAAAATCTTACTACCCATATCACAAACTAGGTGTGGTAATTAGGACAATATGAAGGATGTCTCAATGTTGTGGTGTTATCTTGATATGACTGTGGACAATAAATTATGTCGGAAACGTAATCCCGTAAACAGTACCGTTACACTGTGTGATAAATCTAATAAATCAACTGAAAAGGGATTGCGTTTTACCGCAGTGCTCAAGTCTTGTACAATGCCACTTATTAACTAATTTAATAAGAAATTGTCTGTTAATGATAATCACTTTATTTCGGAAAATATGTTGGTACAGTTAGAAATTTTTAGCATCGCACATAGCAACAATATACATATGAAGATTCTCTGATCAATCTCTTCTTCCACCCAGCTGTATTGAATTTTGGAATCGTTAACATATCTCACCCATATGATGTGACTACGGGTCGGAGGATGCATTCCTCGTGTGGTTGTTGGTGTGCATTGTTGTACAGTTCCATACTAGGATGAAACAGCTATACAATTCTCGTAGGTTTTAAATGTTTCTCCAAATGATGTCCGTCTGTGGTGAATACTATCCTGAAATGAATTAAATCCTTATCAACCTCAAAATAAGATAATATGGAACAATCATATTCATTCAGCTGCACTACACCATTTCCGTCTGGCCTAGCTTACACCAAATGATCACGTATTTAAGGATAATACAAGGAATCCTAACAACAGTTGTATAATATATTTCCATTCTTTCAGCGGATTCCTTAGTAGAAAATGACTGTCAACATAAAAGTATATGTGTCTACTATAAAACCTAGGAACTGTTCAACTATTGGGGAAACTTAGGATAGGTCAACACCCTTGGAATCTGTACCCTTTTAGTTCCGAAAGGAGGTACTGAGTTTAACCACTCTTGTTTAACTGAGGTTTGGGCAATCGTATTTTATTAATGTTCCTCACATAGTGAGTGTGAAACATTTTTTTATTATTTTATTTTGTTAGAACGTAAGCATGGTACAGCAATGGCACTAAGGAACGTGCCACACAAAATAATATATTAATATGAAGACATAAAGTGAAGGGAGGTGGATACATTAAAAAAACGCAACAAGAATTGAATGATTAGAAAGGTGGCCCAGTAAGATGCATTCAAAGAAAAAATTTCATTGTTTTTTACCCGAATAAGATAGCAAGAAGTCACAGCATGACCATCACTGGTTTCGATTCTCAGCCATATCTGATAATGTCTCAAGTCACTGAGTTGCTTGAGCTCTGGGACCCCACCCAGATAGTCGTGACGTACCTTCAGATACTAACCCGATAAAATTATCCATCATCCTATGGCTCTACATCATACATTGACCATCCCTCCGCTTCTTCGATCCGCTCCCAGGACTAGCAAACAGTGAGTGGTATGTAAGCCATCGGGACAATATTCGTGACACATATTCAGGGATCCCAAAACGGTGTTTGTTAGATGACCTGATTTATTGAATGAGAATCTCCATTGTGCCCCAAACACACGCTGTCGTACCTCAGGATTACTTACATAGTGTTGTCACCCGATTCGATTAATACTAAGGGGAAAACGATGACAGGACACACAGAGTCGTCGCACACCCTCACCTCAGAAAGACCAGGTTTCATAGGCGCTGAGCAGAAATGATCGCACCGGAACGCCATAAGCCTGATTTTTTACGGTCAGACTAACTTCACGATGGTGCCAAAGGTGAACTCGATTGTTGTATGCCGCTCTGACTTCGGATATGCTGTAAGAAATGACATCACTCACACAATTACTCAGATACATGAACTCTTCCACTACTTACAAAAGCTAATCCTCGAGGACGAGTGCAGATATAGGCTCTCGCCAGTCTTACAAAATTACCTAGTACTTCGAATCATAGTCTATCACAAGCACCAACATATGATTTTTAGGGTTTATTACATTTTCATTTCTACCATTACAAAAAGAGAATTTATTACTAGAATTACTTGACTTCCATAAAAGTGTTTGGTGTTGATGTAACAACTTTAGTCTACTTTCACATGCCCAGTGACAAACTAAACTCAAGGCATATGTTACAATTTGAGAGGAATCAATGTTCTCTGAAGCTGAACATATTCCTCGCATGAATTAGTTCCACTGAATAATGAATAAGACTTGAATAGATATGTCAGTGAATGGCTGTTAAACTTAATACTTCAACTGATTAAGTATGTGTGTGTGTGTGTTGTTACGTAGTATGATATCAGGAATGACTTGATTTCATATCAGAATAGTTCACCTGATACAGTATTGTTTGCTAGATTTAGTAAATTATTTTTTGAAGGGTTCTAGTTCACTGTCCTAAAGATTGAAATATCCTAGGCATTTCAAAAGAAGACCAGTGACTTGTAGTTTAATAAATACACCTAGGCATCGAATTCTAAAACACTCTTAGTTCATCTATCTACAACTAAGTATAGTATTTTTTCTCCAATTTGATATTGATGTAGCAGATAATTTTGTCTCATTCTACTTCTTCATTCAGGTAATATTTCATCTATAGCCAGTACATTCGCATCAGTATCTGGAATTTTCGCACCATTGATTGTTGGTTTTGTGACTAAAGACAATGTAAGTTAAAACATGAATTCTTTTCACCATTAATTAGATCAACTATAATAGTTTTAGTTAATAGACTGATCACTTTTAAATATTTAGTCCTTTTTATGAATTTAGAAAGTGGAATTAGAAGATGAAGTTTATCTGAACAATGTGATGTATTTACTCAATACATTTAGAGCAATCTGATCAAGTCAGTTTACATAAAAACAAAGAATGAGACGGCGCACATAACAATTAAGATAAAGGAGGATTAAAATGAACAGATGAGAACAAAGAGGAAGCATGATATAGTTGATTCTAATCTTGGTAAGAAAATAAAGTTTACCAAGATAGACATAGTGTGAGAACAAATTGTTTTCGAACAAACCAATGTGGTTTAAATTTGTGTATGGCTGCAGCTTCCGTCAGTCTCCTTCTGCATCCCTGACTGTTACTACGTAAAATTTTTACAGATGACATTGAACGATGAAATAAAAATAATAGAGAACTCCTTATGTGAGAATAGCTATCCTGAGAAGTTCTTATCAACCGTCACAATGAAAACAGCGGGAAAAGAAGTGCCTTCAGGTGGTACCGAAGAAACGTTTATTTCTTACTTTGGCGTTCAAAGTTGATGCAGCTGCAGGAACACTAACTTTGAAACTCTCAAGTCTGAGAGAAGAAATTTTCTTGACTACCAAACTGTGTGAAATTTACTATTCACTGTAAGATCCCAATGTAGTTGAAGAATAGTCTATGGGGTCTGGCTACATTTATATGCATTCATCGATTTAACTGTTCCTGTGGAGGTAGTTACATAGGCATTACTACCGGGCTAACCATCACCTTTTCATTGAACACTGTCTAGCATGGTTATGCGAAGGAGCAGTGAAATTCATCAAAAGTTCATTACTTGCTTATTTGGTGTAGATACTCAGCGTATGACTGACGAACCCTTGCCATTTCCACTTCTTTACAAACCGCCTTCACAGTATATGTTTTTTACACAACTAGGTACTCATGAAATGCAAATCTTGTTATCAACTTATTCTACCATTTAGTGATAAAATGGAATTCACAAAAGTACTAATTGTGCAGGAACCAGCAGGTTTTGGTGACAATAATACTAGGATGAGTTTTCTATGCTACAATATAATGTATGCTGAAAAAAAGTTAAGAGTTCCTTAACCAAGACATGACATCAAGCTTTGGAGTCATTGAATTTTGCTATGATAAGTATGCTCAGTTGTAACATCAAAAGCTATTATTCTCGAAAAACGTCAATGCTTAAATATTTCATGTTATTATGACTCAAAGTTGACTTCAGTGGCGCAGGAGTATTCAGTCTTTGACGTCTGCTTTCCAATCATATGTGTCTTTCCTCTCTTCTGCTAGGCCATTGTTTATTTTTTGGTTAGTCTTCCTCTTTCCTGGGATTTCCTTTCCCTATGCACTTGCAAAGTATGACAGTTTGAGCCAAAGTACTCTTGTGAAAAGCTGTGCATTGTTTTTAATCCATTGCAAAGCATAAGGCTACACATCTCTCAATCACTGGCAAGAATGACAAGTATGTTTAGACAGATTGTGAGATTTAGTAATACTTTTCTCTGGAAATCAAAGTTTGTAATCTGATCAACAATAAAACTGTGACAAGAAGGCAGAGAAACATTAGAATGGTCATTCAGACACCACTGATACGAATTACTAGTGGTTTATGACTGTACTAAGAAGGTCTCGACACCCATTGGTGGTTTCACTCATCCGTAGTTAAAGTAGTAAACCGTGTACGTTAATAGCTATGAAAAACAGGCCTCTGTCAACTGAATCATTTGAAGAACGTTACCAATGAGCTGGGCGTGAAATCATCAAAACAGACTACCAGTTTTTAGTTCACCTCGTTCTGGTTAGCAAGCCCTTCTAACTGATTTAAGTATTTTCTAATAACTCATAGAAAACAGTAGATCATACAAATAACATTCTTGCGTGATATATTAAAATCAGAGCTCAAACGGACGATGATCATTAAGAGAATGTGCGAATATGCATAAATACGTATATGAAACGTAACGGAATATGGAACAAAACCTAGATCAACGTGGTATATAAGTCATCAGATTTTAGATTACCTCCGTGACAAATGAGCTATGATCCAGGTCTCTCGATGACGAATATACTCATGTCACTACTTCAGATCCTAAACTTTACATGCAGGTTTTGCCCAAGACTCATTTATCAACTTGTACAACACCGAGATCTGTTTGCAAAAAGAGGGTAGTTTAAATAACGTTGCCAATCAACAATACTCTTTCCCTCCAGTTCTCATTCAGTCCTATGGTTGAAACTTCACGAATTCTCCACACACCAAATGCATGCTAATTCTGATACTGTTGTTTTTCTAGCTTGTTACTGAAGCTAAGTAGAGAAGTAGATAGTATTAGAATTTTGTAAACATGTGTGCGCAACGCAACTAAAAAAGACTGTTGATCTGTAGTGTGAATCCTCTTGCGATACAAGTATTTTTATCTGAATTATCACCTTCCGCATAAAACACTGAATTCTTATTCATTGTTTTATTTATTGAATGAGTAACGTTGGTTTCGTTTTGGTCCCTGTCAAGAATTTTCAAGTCCACGAACATGTACATTTTAAACGTTTGTGACGATTGATTGATCTGAAAAAGGTATCTATCATGAACCTAAACCAATAGAAGAATGATTTGGATCCCAAGAGCAACGGATAACTTCTTCTCAGTATGGGACTTCTCACCAATTCGAGCACACGACTCCACCAAGAATCATGAGGTGTACGAACTTGAAATCTGTCTTCAAACCTTCCAGACTTAATTACTGTCGATTTTTCATTAGCGACTTTCTCCTAGATTGATTGCATAGAGTTTTTATTAGGTGAGGTGACCTATGGCGTTAATCTACTCAGATGTTTGGACAAATACTGGCCTTTGTGACTGTTTGATACTCGCACTGTACCGCAAATTGACAGAAGTGGGAAGATGTGAGCCATTCAATGGCTGAATGGTAATGTACTCACCACAAGACCCGACGGCACTGGGCTCGACCTATTTTTGGGATTTGGGCGCACAGTAATTAGGGGTTCCATATTAGGACAGTAGAACTGTCTAGTGCTCGCAGGTTTTGATGTTTTTCCAAAAAAATGTAAAACTGTAAGCCACACCAACTTGAAAATAATTTGTTCGTCAATCTCTAGTGTTCAGTTTTGCTTTCATTGACTGTAATGCCTCTAAATTATATGCTGTATGTGTAAAAAATTATGGCACGTTAGTATGGTAATGCGAACGCTTTAGAGATTAGGCTATCAATATGCTGATCATTTTTATCTTTAGATGTAATTTTATTATGGATAGAGTCATCGGCATCAGTCTATCGATGGAAAGTCTAATATCGTCAGTAAGTCCGCTTTCTTACTCCAAATTCCATCTGTCTAGGCTTCGACTTACATAGTTCAAGAAATAAATCATGAAACTTGCAATGTTAAAAGAACTAGTAAAAATCACTCATGATCCAGGTTTCTCCTTCGAACTTCTTTATAAGTAGGGTTTTCAACTAGTTAGTTTTGTTTGAAACCGATTACTTATTGACTTCATAATCATTCCTTCCTTCGTTCATCACTGTAGTCAAATTTAACCAACTGGTTCATCATATTTGGAGTATCATCCGGTTTAGCTTGGCTCGGGGCCTTTATCAATTTATATCTGACAAGTGGAGAAGTTGAACCGTGGGCAAGCTTACCGTCATCCTGAATGGAACAAATTAAAATTCCCCCAATCATGTTTATTTTCTTTAAGAATATTACATAATACCCTTCCCACATACACATTAGAGAATATTTATTACTGAAAAAGGAATCAAATTATCTTGAGATGCCCTTCTTCACTTGACCATAATAAAGAGCTGTGAAAAAAATCTGTCTCTCCTCTCGTTTTAGTTTCTTCACATTTATGGCAAAGGTATGTTTTGGGATTTTTTGAATGTTTTCTAACTTTTCCTGTTCTCTTCACTCATTTATTTATTTTTAACTAAAGTATCCTCTCAAACCATATCATAGTTGTTTAAATTTAAAAAAAAACCTCTTCTTTTATTAGCTTTTTCCTGCAATCTTTGCGAACAATGATGAATTTGTTTTAAACAGTTCATTCAGTGTAAAAAATTTGTGTTCAACTTTTAAACTTTTATTATGTACACTTAACGCAATTAGAAGACGAAGATTATCTGAAAAGTGTGATATATTACGTTAAGCATTTCGAACAATCTGATCACACTTTTTACTTTTTAAGGCATTATGTATATGAAAACTGGAGGTGGAGAAGGACAAATATGATATAAAGGAATTCAATAATAAGAAAGATAATGAACGAAAAAAGATACGATTTGAAGAAAGCCTTGGTAATAAGACAAAATAAGCATTACTGGGGTACGTTTAGTGTAAGAACAAACTCTTTCTGCATACACAACTGGGGGTTTCATTTGTTTATGGCTAAGGCTTCAACAAACTTAATTATAAGCTCCTGACAGTTTCTATACAAATTTGTAAAGGCTGTTTTAATATCAGTCCTGTGAGTTTTATCAATAATATCTTTTGCAAAGGATGGTCATGGTTTTCTGCTGCCTGCGCTTATCGATTTTTGTGTATCGAGCTGCTTTTATAGCCATTTTACTACATGCTCCCCTATCCTCAAGATATTCATTTTTCTATTTTACTTTTTTCTTCGCGCTACCAAGGAGGTTTCAAAATACTCTCACCTGTTTTTAAAAGGTGCCATGTAAGAGTTTTATTATATTTCAGTACACTACAGTAGACCATTGTCCCTTAAAACCTCAATCTCACTCAATTCCCTTCTTAAAGAGTGCAAGGATAATGTTAGTTTCAGTACATTGAATATTCTCACTTCGACATTTCGAAAAAAAGTTGATAGAGCGAAGTAATGTATTCCCTTTCAATTAGGACTCCGTCTTGGGCTATACACTTCCACTTCCATTTCACTTGCTTTCGCAGATTCCTAACACTTCAATGCTATATCTTCTCATCTCCTTTGCAATCTGGTCAGCCTTGCTACGTTCATACATAGTGCGGACATTTCATGTCCCCACGTTTACTTTCGCTTTCATCGAGAGAAGAGAAGACTTCTCGGCCAATTGGCTTCCCGAAGGCTTTCATCAACCGGCGTCATTTCGTCTCTCCGATTCCAGCGAGGAATAAGTTTGCTTTTTTTTTCATATTATGTCTCAGCTTTGAAGTTTCTTTAGCGATTAAATTGGTTTTACGGGGTGGGTTGCTAGCCCTATGCTTAACCTTCCCTCTTTACCCGGGCTTAGGACCGACTAGTAACTAGTAAACTAGTTAACCAGGCGAGGGTACACTTATATATAGTTTTACAGTTTATTCAAATTACCAACCAAGTGGTGTGGGGTTGTTAGACAATAATCATAGATTTTAAGTAGGTCATGAAGATGATGTTTTAGAAATAAAGATGTAAATAATCAAAAGAGTTATTTAAATTGGAAATATGAAGCTGGTTATTCTTAGGCGAATGGAGTGGTTTTTGAAGAGTGTTCAGTCATGAACAGTATATTATTGCGCAATGATAAGAAAACAAATGAACGTTGATAGAAACAAGGAGGAGAAGAGGTGTACAAAGTAATACTAAAAGTTACATCATGTTGACGGCCACGGTATTGAAAGTGGTCGAACAAACTTCTTTTGAATACAAAGGTTAGGTTTAAAAAAGTGGATTGTAATCGCCGCTGCTATGTGAAGTAAGCTAGTGCATAATGCATGTGACAAATCATTCGGGATGTGATGAATAATTGTGAAAGCTTTCCTAGTCCCGTGTCAACTACGTGTGCAGGTATGGGGCTCTTTATTGTTTTAATTTGTCCCTCGCTCAACCATGATGGGTGGTGCCCGGAAATTCGACGATGGACCTGCCTCATTGTACGCCTAATGTAATTAGCTCTGCAGGAGCAGTTGAACTGATAAATACACATCATCTTCATGGCTTACTTAAAATTTCTAACTATTGTTCACCAACCCCACACAACTTGATTAGTAATTTGAATAACTTCTAAAACTTTGTATTAGTGTGGAGCCCAAGAAGAAGACCTAATTGAAAAGGAATATATTACCTCACTCGATCAGTCTGTTTTCTATATGTTGATTTGTTGTGTATTGGCGCCTCCTAAGTGTACATTTTGTTCGAAGTCTATTTTGCATGTGCTGACAAGTAGGACTACTTACATTATATAGTTTGAAGTTCATGAGGGTGTTATTTCAAGGTAATATTCGTTGTGAACTGATATCAGGTGCAGAACCATTGAAGAGTTGTGAATACTGAATAACTATTTTGTCGTAGTATAGGACCACTGAGCAATAGGTGCGATCGACGCCAACAGGTATGAAACTCAGCGCCTTTAGTTCTCTCTATGAATGTATTAATTATTCAGGCACTAGGCTGAAATTTAGTGGTTCAAAGATTCTTACTTCTGTCAACTCTCGATATAGTATGACTATCATCAAGGTGTTCAGTTGATGTCCTATCCAGTTATAACTATTTGACCCTTAGTTCTAACCCTAGTGAGGTCACGGACATATACTACTGAAAATGTTTATACTGTTGCGAAACAGTTGTCCAGAGCTCCCAAGTCTTCAGCGGTTTTCCAACCGATATCAGCTCGTGATGATTTATTTCTTTTAACATCAGATCATTAGTCCCTGTCATTCTGCCTTGGACTTTGCGATTCCGCCAAGTTCACAGTTGTTACTTTCCTCTATCTCCTGTTTTTATACCATTTGACGCAGGTAGATAAGTAATGTTCAAGACAATAACAACTGCAAATCCATTTCGGGAGTCTGTTGCATACAGTAAAGTCAAATGTGTACAGTACGAGGCTTTTAAGTGTTCTGAGCGTAGATAAGCTTAGTATACCTTTCCTAACTAAGTGCGATCTGTTGCTTTAGGACAGAACTGATGCGATATATGTTTTGACAATGAAAATTGAAGTAACTATGTTGGGTACTTAAAATACCCGGAAAATTGCATCGGGCGGGGGGGAAGGAAGTGATAACTGAGAGTGGTTCACCAACATTACAAAAACCCTGTTTTATTCTCTAATATACCTTGGTAAAATATGTATACTGGAGAATCAGTTTACTACCAAGAAATACACTGTATCTTATTTTACTATCGTGGTACATGTTCTTTATGAGTGACAGATTTGCAAAAACCAAAGATACTCAATTAAAAACGACTTTGAAAAGTTTTGTAAACATGACATTTTACCCTCTAGTCGTCGGTCCATGTTTCGTTCTCCCTCTTTTCCCTTCTAGATTCGCGTGGTCGGGAATAAACTCACACTCCTCTAGTCACTTTCCTGTAACAACGTACATACCTACCTGCAAGCTAGACGAAAATCTATTAACGACTAGTCGTTACAATAGAATAGTTGAGAAATCAGTAATAATCTTAAACATGCAGCTGCGGATTGCAAAGTTAAATCAGTAAATAGGGTTATATATTATTATTGGTTAACATGGTGAGTGCATTTAGTAGCGTGTTTAGGCAACATTCAATGTCCAAACTTCAATGTTCAATGTTTCACTTTTAAAAAGCAAAACAAACAAAAAATATTCATGTCTGACCAAGGCGTATCATGAAGCTGCCTAATACTGGTTTAATTCATTCAACAAACTTACTAGGACTTATTCAATATATGAAATTGGTTTCTAGGATCCAGGCATTATTACTCACCACCTAAAGTGTAGTACCCTAGAAAAACCTACTTCTTATTCCCATGCCTTGTTTATTTTCCTGAGATTTTTTTTACTCTATGAGTGTTTTTATTACTCTATGTTGATGTAAAGTGTGAAAAAAACCTTGGTCGACACAGTTTTGGTAGATTCTATATCGTACTTGTTAGTATTTAATGTCACCATGTTGAACTTTTTTATTTACGTATATATCTTGGAGGCCTCTGATTTCCAAAACAGACAGAATAAAAATTACTCCTTATAATTGAATAGCTCTAAATTCAAAAATGGTTTACAAACGATTTGTTTATGGGATTCAATGAATAGAGGAAGGTATTCAATAAATGTAACAAAATCAATTTTACCGCTGTTTTGATGATCTAAATGTCTGATCAGATCTTGTACGTGACCCTCACGTATATTGGCAGAATAGAAAAAAACTTTAACATCTTCCACTTTAATGTGTCCAAATGGCGTAGATGATTCATAATCCAGTATGTTTAAACAGTTAGTTAAACACTGAAATTTTGGCGTTCGATGTTTTCTCTGATTATTTTTACTACTGGTACCATTATCAGTAGTATAAGAAGTAGTTTGAACTCCGTTCATATTTAGTTTGAAAGTAGGTTGGTAAGTGTACAGTTGTTGAAAGTGTTGTCGTCTATCCAAAACACCAATCAGCATAAACAATTCCTAGGAAGTGAAATTAATGCACTGCTTTCACTGAAGATTTCATAAAGAAATGGAAAGACATTTCAACAATAGACAGTTTAGAGAAAAATGATTCTTCTTCCACTAATCACTTCTGAAACAGTTTGATCGTACTTACAGGTACAGCGGGAAAATGTGTCTAGTAATGACCATTAGGTCAACACAAGGTCATCAAAAAATTGTTTTTATAATTATGTGATTTCATTACAGTAGAGAAAGTAACAAACTAAGTTAGCGACTGATAGAAAAATTGAAGTTGCTAACCGTAGAGTAAGGAGATGATGAAAATAATAATATTGACTAACAGAATGAGAGAACTCACAAGGAAGTTATGACTAAGATAAAATTAGAGATCGAATATCACTTCTATCATTTCTTTGTATTTGATACTTCCATTCACCAAAATTTTAGGCCTAAGAATAACTGAGTCTGAAAGCTATATTCTGAGCTACAGTTAGCTATCACGATCTTAAGAATTTGGCTTGTTTATGTCTACGGGACAGACTATATTCGGTAGGAATCGGGGACATACTATTTTTGTACACTTAAAGATTTACTGAAAAAAACGAATGACTATCTGATCTCAATTGATCCAATGAACAACAGAACTATCCACCATGATAATCCTGACTACAGAGTAGCATAAGTCATATATGAAGCCCAAAGCATTTTTAGTTTAGAGTTCGATAACATGAAATGTTGATTTGTGTTTCACTCACTTCCATTCATATATTTTAAGTCTACCTGCAACCTGAAACAGACTATTTTGTAGGTATTATGGGTGAGTAGTGGCTAGCTGTGGAATGCAGGATGCATCTTTAGCTCTATTTGGTACTAACCAGCTGGATGTATCTGCTTCTTGATGAGTGATCTTGTTCTACTAAGACACTAAAATACTAACTTCAAGCACCATGGTGCTATCAACCAGGCCATTGAGTCACGATAGCCACTTCGTGTGCGACGTATATAGCTTTTTTATGTTGTTGCTTGTATTATCCCTTCCTTGACTGGATTGACAGGATAATACGAGTAACAACACATTTCGTAGGTATTTGGTTGCCTCTCTGAACAGTCCAGTGGGTCATCTCTTCACCAATGGTAACTAAATTGTTTATCTGGAAGCTCATAGGAACCATAAATTCACTTAAGGTGTTAAATACACTCATGTGATACAAAAAGTTGGCGAAAAACATTTTCCTATAACCTGTTGTCAAGTTTCTACCAAATATTTCCAAGTCACTTTTAGTGTCAATATTCACTAAATGACAACTTGGGATTCATCGACATGTTAGAAGGATAAATAGTATTTTCCAAATCGTTTCACTTCATATTTAGTGCGTTCTCGGATTATACATATAAGCTGATTAAACATAGTTCTACATTGAACAGTTAACCTACAATGAAAGAATAACTGAGGGAAGAAATATTTCTTTTCGGCTAGGTCTCCATCAACAACTCTTTACTAACATATCAGTTTTATATTGAATACCATAGCTAATACATGCATATTTCGTTGAGACTGGCAGTGAAGTGAATACAAGCAAACCTTTTACAGTTATACACTATATACCATTCAGTCATCGGCATGGTTTACGTATTCAGGTTGGTATTCATCGTGGACTGAAATCATTCTTCAACTGATGTCACTCTGTGATGAACATCAACCTGAACTCAGTAGGCAAATCCCCTTAAACCTCAAGTGAATTGTTGTCCAGTATTCCTTAGTCACTTGTTTGGAGGTGAGATTCCCGAAGTTCTCATGAGGAGTCGTGACCAGTGAGGCCAAACGAGTGGGACATGAGGACAGTTACTCAGTGACAGCTTGTGAGGGAGGTCGCGCTATATTGTGAACTGACAGAAGTAGATGTGGGTCACTAGATGACGATCAAGTGACCCATGGTAACTTTCTGGCCGTAGAACCTGAGGCTCCTGAGTTCAACTCCAGGGGGAGTGGGCTCATGGGTACGCACAGCTGAGAACTATACTAGGATGAAACAGCTGACCAGTGCTCCCAATTTTCCACTGGTCATCCAACTGATGTCAGTCCATGATGAATATTAACGTGAAATCAACTGATAAATCCTCACAAACCTCTAAATTGATTTACGTATTTGCGTCAATACATATGACAGAATGTATTGTTATGCACCTATATGAACTTTATCTTTGTATTCAGGAGGAATTTGTACAAGCTGTGTCATTCATTACCTTGGCCATCAGGGTGAATTAGCTTCTTCATTTTTCACCTACTGGATTATAATTCAATAATAATGGGCCTTTCCCCTCTTTAGCCGATATTATCTGTCAACCTATCCACACATAATTCTGCCGACATGTTTGTATTTGTTCCATGTTCTTCACGTTTCATTTTAATTGTTATAGAGTCGGTGAATTAACAACCTGTTGTACTTTATCTCACACTTCTAACAATCTTATCTGGTTAAGGCATTCATCAATTTATGTTTTCTTTCTCTAATTGTTAGCCCCATGCGTAATTATTAATAAATACTTATTCTAGTTAATTAATTAACTCACAGCCGCTAAATGGTATTTTGTTAGTAAATAGAAAACCGATATATTAGTGCAGAGCAGATGACGAAGACCTAATTGAAGAGAAATTTTTCTTCACTAAATCCATTCTTTAATTTGAATGTTTAAATGAAGATTAGTAATGAGTTAACTAAAATATAAGGTTTTCACTAAAATAAACATCAGGCCGGTTACCCGGATATCGCTGGCTCAAATCCTGTCGCTGCTCAAATTTTCATTTCGTCTCTAATCAACATCGAGTAAAAATAATATTTGTTATCACTGACGATTGCCTATCCCAGGAAAAGAACTACAAACAAATGTATTGGTCATTCAACTGATGAGTGATACTTGTAAAATGGATGTTTAGAAATAAGACGTTAACATCACCTAAAGTATATAACACTTGGTTAGAAAATTATTATCGAAGCCGAATTTGGATGGTCATGTTTTGTGTAAACGTTTCGTGATTAAAGTATAATAGCTAAATTGAAGATGATTTTAGTTCTAATTTCTGAGCAACACTGATATTCTTCAGTGATCCATAAGATCGTATTCTCCATTCAGTAGACTTTAGTAATATGTTGGTTGGTTGAAAGCAATTGGTAGAAAATCCTGGACCAAGGTTTTATACTTGCTGGAACTCGTTAGCAAGATGTACCAGCAACGTCTAGGGAATTTATATCCTTCCTGAGATTCGACTCAGTCTTACATCAAGTGACGTTACCGTTAAGGTCAGTCGCAGCCCGAACAGTTCAGCAGTAACGTCGCTGACTACAACACTGGGTGACACAGGTTTGAACCTCACAAGGGACATCACTTCCTTTGAAGTTGTTGATGAGCCATGATGACAATTGCCAACGAGCACGAAACCGAGATCAGGCGGGGCTAACTCCCGATTACCTCCAGTAAACAGTCAGTGCATTTTAGTGTTACTTTTCCGTAAGAATTTCCCGCCTCATGAATTAAAAACACTTTAACAAAGAAATTATTATTATTTCTTATTAGAAATCAGCTGTAAACTTACTCTGGCGTTTTTAATCTTCGCGTGTAAAGAACAAGCCCCAATTTTACACACAGCATTTTTGACTAATAATCTAAAATATTTTTAGAAAAAACAAGATTTTACATATTCCAAAGAAATAATAGAGATGAGTAGAAATGTATAGTGATGAAAGTGGTTCTCAAAACTTAGTTTTTTTTGTACCTCTTTCTTCTGACTCACCTAGCCTAGTATTTTTTCCGCCACTATTTTTGTTACTGTTATATTTGAAAGGTCATCATCACGATACAACGGCATAGATGTTAGTTGAATTGAGCCGATCGACATAAGGCCTAAGACATATGCTTCGTGTTTCCTGGTACTCATCGGCAAGGTGGACTTGCAACCATGAGGGGACTAATGTTGCGCCTGAGTTTGGAATCCGCGTCACCCAGTGCTCCAACCAACGTCTGTCCCAGTGTATCGTGATGGTGAAATTCCTAGCTTGGTGGCTGCATTGCGAAATGATCATTAGAATTCGATCAACAGTTAGGCCTGGACAATATGAAGTTGGTTACCCTTCAGTGACTAATCAATGTACCTAACCCAGTCCTACTAGGAGTGAGGTGTGGCCGGAATAGCTCAGTAGTGATATCTCCAACTACAACACTGAGTGACGCAGGTTCAAATCTCAAGCGAAACATCATTTCCCTTGAGGTTACAGATACGCCAAGCTAACAACTGCCAAAAAGCGTGAAACTTGGAATGGGGAGGGCTACCTGCCGAATGCCTCAATCTAACCAGGATCCATGATTTCGTTTGTTTATACATTGGAGAGAGAGAGAGAAGGAGGTAGCATCGATTATCAACCCATGTTCGTGCAATATAATACATAGGTATAGAAAAATGCAATATCAGCAATCAGCATTACTATTCTTCATAATATCTTGTTTTAATAACAAAACACTTACTCCAAGCCCTTCACTCGTTCAGCGAGTGATGCCAACACAATGAATAGAGATATATCGATATGCCATTCAGAAAAGGTTTCCAAGACCTATAAAAAAGATTGTAGCCATATTGTAGACAAATGAAAAACTATGAGGATATGCCTTATAATTTATTTACTACACAGAATCACCATCATACTGAGTTAACCACTCATTACTTATTTTAAAGTAAACTGTGGTCTAATCACTTGAAACAATTTCTATTATGAATTAATATCAGTTGGAGAACAAGTCAAAATTGAGTTACGCTTCCCCACTGTTTTGTCTTAATCTGACATCCCTTACCAATAAGCACCGACCACCGAATGAGGAAATGAACCTGTGACTGTTGAATCGCACGATATACACATGATTGATCGTCTGCTGAGTCACAGCTTAATAGCCAGCATTTTCGAAATTTTTTTGATTCATGATATTGTGCCAAAACCATGTAGTGCCACTGATAGTTTAACATCCTGACACCTGATTTGGTCACATTTAAAGGTCATGGCTGCTTTAATTGATGTTGGTCAACGAATGAAACCATCTTGAATTTGTTCAATTCTTATCATAAACCCCTTAATTCAAAGTATTTCGAATTTTTAAAATATTTAATGTATTACAATAGCAGAGGATACTTTCAGCTTGTTATGTTGATCTTGGTGACTAGCAGGGCCCCAGGGAGTGATGCTGTCCTTACTCGGACAGAAACCCAGTGTCCGCCTCAAATACCAGAGCGTTACCCACTAGGCTACTGGGGCAAAATAGCCACCTCTAGTGTAACGGGTATCAGTTGTTGTTATGATACTTGTAATTTCCCGTTGTTATACAGGGCCGGAATGCTCGATCTCTGTTGGGAAATGGGCTCCTATGAGGACGCCTCGTTACTGCTGGATACATCCAACTGACGAGTTCCAAACAGGACGAAGCGCTCGTCCTGGATTCCTCTGCTAGTTGCCAAGATAAATATAATATCGTGCGGCAGAATCGAGGCATCTGCATAGGGATCCATCTCCCAACAAAGGTGGAGCTATTTAGTTTAGCATAGCAACAGGAAATTACAAGTATCATTACACTAAAAGTGACATATCCTATTTCTTTCGGCATCCGATGTTTAATATCTCAACAATAAACCAGATAACGTTACATTTAGTTGTAAGTTAGACATCTAGAGAAATAATACTGGAATTCGCGTATGTATTCTCGATAAATAGCAATTAAAACCACATATTTCTGGAAAGTTCTAATGTCAGTAAAACGACTGAGCAAAAATTATCCAGTCAGTTCAGCTCTGAAATTAATTTCAGCAAGTTTAAAGGTGAACTTATGACAAGTGGTGCTGGACATATATTGGAAAAAGCTGGATGCCCATAGATGATATTAGGGAATGGCTGTCATATGCTTTGAATCGGTGGGGTAAAATAAAGGTGAACCATTAGATTTCAAGCAAGCGGTTGAGCGACAACTTGCTCAGAAGGAGACTAAATGGTTCAATGCTTCTTTTGAGAATCCTTGTTTTGAGTGAAGCATGTGCCTCAGTTGGTTTCTGGTCGTTAAGTTTTCCTTATCTGATATTATTATTAAGTAATGAGAATAGTTTTCAAGTCAATAAGAGGAAATGGCCGAAGCAATATAGATGTCTTCGTACAGATAACTTATGACTTGTGAACAATAACTATAGGAGTGAGACGTCAGGAGTCCATTGGTGGTATATGTTACTTAACTTTGACTTCGTATGTGTTGACACTCGTCTGTAAGGTATATTTACAAAAATGAGGAAACTGGTCATTTCTGAGTAATTCGAAACTGTTCCATTCAGAGCTGATATCAAAGACCTTACCAATGAGCTGTTCAAGCTATGACTGAACTGTGTGCATGAATCTGTCATCAGTGGATGATCGATGTAGCCGTCTACTCCCTTGGGCTTAGCACTGACTTTTGATGAATAGATCAAGTCTCAAACGTCATTTCAGTGAATTTGACACTGACACTTGTTCGGCTTTCAGGCAGGAGACATATTAACAAGTTAGTAAAAATAACCAGTTGTTCTAACTAAGTGATTTAGGTTGTGTTGTGAGATATTTCAGTTGAAAAACTGCCTCAAGGTTCATAGTCCTGTTAGGTGATCAGGAGTAGTTAGGATGAAACATTCAGATTCCCCGCAAGACAAATATATATATATATATATATATATATATATATATATATCTGAATGTAATGCTGTTAGGCTTTAGGCTAAACATGTGAAATGGTGATACATTGTATAAATCACTACTACGTGGTACACAAGATCGTTTGCTGCTTATATTGTGCAATGGGATGCCAGTGCGAGATTATATATATTCTTGTCATACTACTCAAGCCTAATCTCAAGATACATTTCAACCAAGGGAACCATAACGATTAGTTTTTGAATAAAAGTCGAGTACTGTAGTAGTGTATAGCATACATAATTTTTCCATACTTCCCATTTATCTTAAGTATCCCTTGTTTTTTCATGGTATGATGAGAAACAGGAAACATTTTGCACCTTACAGTGAGTGTGTATCCTGTCTGTCACTCTTTCTGACATGCTTCGTTTACTGAAAAATGAAAAGGTGAATCCGTGCCAAGTTAATTAGAGGAAAAGTGTGGCATTTGCAAAATGAGCAAGAATAACTTACCTCTTTCAATCTGAGCTTTGTATAATCAGTTTGCGAATCTTTATTGATACTTCTTATGGCACATTCAAAGTCAGTTTCATCAAGTTGGATGCTCTAAATTTAAGTAATATATGTGTAATTTTATTACTTAGTTGACGACCCGTACAAATAAATAGCTATTACCTATTGTTCAAGAGACAACCGTCGTTTTTGAGTAACCCAGTGGATAACGCTTTGGGATTGGAATCGATGAATACTGAGTGCGAGACTCAGAAGGAATATTAACACTCCTTGGGTTACAGTTACGTCCGGCTGACGAGTTCTAACTAGGGCAAAGCGCGCGTCCTTGAATCAAGTACTAAGCAAACTATAAAAGAAGGAATCTTCTGATAGTATCCTGGAATCGGCAGAGGAACCCATATGGGGACAGAGATTGATCAGTTCGACCCGCCATGCCAACGAGAACTAACGAGTATCAGTAAAAATTTGCATTTCTATTTGAAGATTGAGATAAAGACCTGAATAACCTGAGGGATTCGAATTGATGATCTTCAAGTCACATTCTTCAGAATAAGATATACAGAAATGAAAGTATATCGCATTTTGCTTCAATGTCAAACATTCTTACTCTGAGCGCCTAGGCCGTTAACGAATTTCTCAACGGTGAGAATATAAATCTAAATATAATTCAATCCGCTTTATGTGTGGAGACAAACTTAATTTTTACGACTAGAATATGGCAAATCTGATCACATAGGACAAAACGTCCAAGCACAATGTTTAAAATAAATACTCGAATCAAGTAACTTTCGTTAATGGAGACTATTTGTAATTCAGGATGTAGATGTACAGGTTTATATTTTCTGTGACATAACGTTTCGGTTGACAAACGTTCCGACATCACACTTTGAACCTCAACCAGTGTGTGAGTGCTCCATAAGGAAGTGAAGTAAATTGACTGTACATGAATATTCTTACTACGCCATTTTCTTCAATCTAATTTAATTGACTGTTTGTTGAGTGTGTGGAAGTATTTTAGGCTTGATTAATCAACGTCTTCATTTGACCATCATTAATTAGTAGAACAAAAAGCATCAACTAGACAGACAGAGGTGACCATGATCAGTCCACATAAACAGAATGGTTTCATTGTACTGCATACAAGGGAAAATAGTCCATCAGTGATGTAGTTTCATACTTCTCTTAGAAAGCTGGAAGCAAAACACTAACCAATCAGGCTCGGTTGATGCCAGAACATTCACCAAACAGTCAATTAGATAGTCTGATGGAAGCAGAACATTACAAATACATAGTGACAGTCAACTTACTTCGCTTATTTATAGGGTATCGACATACTTAAAAAGGTATGTAGCATGATACTGAGACGGTTGCTTACAAAAAACTCAGTTTAGAGAACAATTCAGTCTGAGCAAAGTAATCTCATCAAAATAAATAGTCATTAATAATATGGGATAAAAATGATGTCAGTTGGATCCATGAAGTTCTCATGTTTTAACCATAGCAGTTGACGTTTTCATTGATCTGTGCAATGAATTACATGAGTGTTAACTTCCACAATGCTTTCTTATATGAAAAAATATGTTTACAACTGCTTTATCTGTTTCTTTAATGATATCAAGTAGCCATCTTTGTTAGGTTGTATATGTCCCTAACTATTTAAGTCAACGTAAGCTGAGGAGGAATACATTTATAGGGCTTTTACAATTTATAAGGGAGTAGAGAATGCATAAATGTTTTACATTGAGATCAACTGTGAACTACACAGGTTACAGTCATCAATCAGCCATTCAATTCTTATATCCGAAGGTTTCCGTTTAAGCTGTTTAAGCTCTCTGACACAAGTCAGATGAATAGGTAAATGATTTGCAAGATGATTTTATATTTTCATTTAGCCACATCTTTTTCGACGTTATCTTACTTCAAGTGGTATTGAACCTAAGGGCTGATGGTGGTATCATACACCTAGAAGAACCATAACTAATAATTTTCCCCATAAAAATACTCTATGGCTGTAAATTAAGTTGTGTAGAACAAAGTGAAATCATTATCTTGTATTGAGTATAAGAGAATACACAAAGTAGGAAGTGAATTGATGAACTCATGTCCATACTGAAAACCATTTGGTCAATAAATTCCAACCCTCTGAAGTTTAAACCTAGTAAGTAACTGAGCCTCGAAGTCCAGCCAGTAGAGTGCTGAGTATTTAACCTAGGTTCTCCTTTCACCTCCAATCATTATTTATTATTAATGCCAGTCTGCCAAGCAGTGGCTGTCTCATGTCTCCTCAAAATAATAGAAATAATAAAGATTACCTTCATTGCTTCGGGTACATTGTATTTCCTCAAAGTGTAATGAATTTTGTTTCCACTTTTAAAATTTATTTGTCTTGAATAGGTTTTCAGCCTATTTCTCTCTTCTCTATGCTGTTTACATTTCTTCAGTGTAGTTCTAGCTAATTGTCGGCTAACAAACATTTGATTGTAAATATCTTCAAGATTCGACTTCTTAATTATCTGAAATATAAGTATCAAAAGAGAAAGGAAAACTAGACGATTCTGACCTAGCTTAAACATCCTAAGTATTTTAATTTTGATCACATTATTGAAGAAACTCAAAATAGACTTACTTTTCAAACTGGAGATTTACTTCAAGCATTCTAAGACTTAAACTAGCATGTTACATACAAAAGAGGAAGGTATTTTTCATTCAACTTTGTTTCATTCCAGAATCAAGTTTCGTAACGCAGATTAAAGTGATCTAAAATCTTAAAATACTGATTTTCCTCTCAGTTTTGAATAATCGTATCAGTGGCTAATATTTATGAACTGGTCGTAAACTGCAAAGTATTTTACGTCAGCTGAGTTTAGTTTCCACTGACTTGGACGAACCAATATACAACAGGCTGGTCAAATTGATGACAATATTTTACAAAATTGAGTAGTTTTTGAGCGAGTAATATATGTTGTGTGGAGATTCATACAGCCATGAGAAATCTTGTCATCATCCGTACACACTTTCCGAATGGTTCTCAAAAGATCCATCGATAACGGTAGCAAGATAGTAATTACGTATTAAACTTTAGTCAATACTACCGTATTAATCATCATACAACTCAAAAAGTGGAAAAAGTTTGTCTCTTTTATGGATTTAGATGGTGCAATCAATAGAAATTTGACTGAACAATGTAATGTATTTACACAGTATACTTCGAACAATCTGACAACACATTTACTTGTCAAGTCAGTTCATGTAAACGCAAAAGAGAGGGAGACGAATAGTACAATTAAGATAAAAGAGTATTAAAGTCCAGAAAGATGAGAACGGAGAGGAAGTACGACATAGTCGATCCTCATCTTGGTAGGTGTAGTGTAGACGAAATCGTTTCTGCACACACAAAGATGGTTTTAAATTGTGTGTAACTATCGTTACCGCGTTACCGCTATGAAAGCTATTTGAACATTATTTTTGAGATCGGTTTCTGCAATCTGCTTATCTGTAGGCGAAGCTTCACATTATATTTCTAATGTTATTTACATAACTTCAGTCGCTTTATTTAAACTATCGCAAATGTTGCAAAGGCGTATTTATCTATTCACAGTATTTCATGGTGGTATTCTAAATTGTACCAAAAGTTGTTTGGAATAAGTGACTATTATTATTACTATTGTCATTATTGCTATTATTATATCCATTAGGCTATATTTCCCTCCACCCTCACCTACACACCCCGATTAGTTCTTCGTATGTATATGTGACCACACATGATGGGATGTGATGTGATAATTGTGGTGGTTTGTCTTGAGTCATATGTTTTGTTTTTCCATAATATTAAGATTAGTCACATAATATATTATCCTGATTGCTATGTCTGGTAGTACGAATCAACACTCTACGAATGATATGAACCTAGCAGAGTATGAACAAATCGACTCTAATGCAGATCAGACCGTCAACCACCACCGCAACTATGCCACGGACGCATGAAGACAAACAGAAGAGAAGACAGACCGTTGACAGAGATCTTTTTACTGTCTCAACAATAGTCTGACCTTCCTTGCATCGTTTCCGTTTTGCAAAGTCTCCTTCGAACCAGTTTTTGTATCTGCAAAACCACGTAGCGAACGTTATGTTTGTATCTGGGTCTTAGACGAATTCGGAGATGCTGCTACCGACGTTGTCATTGACAAGAGATGAATCAAATGGTGAAGAAAGGCGTAAGCCAGTAACCAACCCCATCATTTTAAGCTACCGCCCCATCAATTTCTTCAGGCGTGATGGGTTCATTGTAAAATACACCCTTCGCCGAGCGATACCAGCTTGGCAGACTACGAACGATATGAACTTAATGGGCAGTGAATCGACTATAACCCAAATTAGAATGTCAATCACCATCACAATACTAGTGGCTGATGTTGGCCTATGTCTCAAAACTATGCCATTCAACTCCTGTTTGTATGGTAGAGCGATGTGGAAGCTTTACTTCAGAAGCGTGTGTAGAGTTGAATTTGGTTCTACCTAAATTTTGCGACGGTTTATAAACTCCAATGGATATCCATTTTCATTTCTGTTTTGGTCAGTGTTTTAATACCTTCCTCTATCTGTACATCAGATACTATAGATCTTATTAAATAGGCATTTTATTAGACCTAGCTTATATTGGGTAGGACAAAGTTGTGAAATTTTAAATATTTTTCTGTCCATGTAAGTTTTCTGTAGACTGGCTATCTTACTGAACCATCTTCTCGTCTAGGAATGCCAGATGATTACTATCCCTCATATTTCTCACAAATCGCTATGATGTCACGTACATACCTCTTGTGAAGAGAAACTTTAACGATGAGATCGCCTATCAGATTTTTCAAAAGTGACATACAAATATCAAACGGTAACGTCCCTCAGGGATTACCTTCAGCCATACCATTAACCTAAAATGACACTGGTGCATTAAATCCGGAGAATGAAAGTACAGCACCTGAACTAATGGATCACAATTCTGTAGCACTACTGAAGTCTATTAACAAAAGCGATCCCGCTTTGCAAACTAAGCTACACTGTAAATTTATTTACCAAAAAATTATTCGAAATCTAGGTATGCCTCTAAAAAAGTAATTCTTTTTTTCCTAGGGTTTGGATGGATGTCATTCAACCACCTGGCTTTAAACACTGTGAGGTGACTGGATGAATAATAAGGAATACACAAAGGATACTAACGAAATGGCTCAAGAGGAGTGGATAAGAATAGCGACTGATCTCCCTTGGGTACCTTAAACTTCACTTAGCCACAAAAACGTAGGAAACCAAAATCTGGCCTATGATTGTAATGAAGACGCTTTATTCGACAAAGATATTTCATTTATGCAGTTTTCATTAGCAAATAAAATCACTAGGTTAGAAGTTAAATAGCTGATTCCGAATGGTTAGTTGAAGGATAAAATTTTCCAATTGCAATTTTGCTGACTACAGCCACATGAAACAAAGTATTCTACCTTACTGGCTGGGGACATAAAATGTTGGTTTCCATTGGGATCACCTCCTATCACACTGTCATGTTGTCCTCCTCAAAGGTATAAAAAATTCCTCAGTTACATATAGTCATCGAAAATCTGTTCATAGGTGACTCTTATTCAGGTAAACAAGTTAAAATACCGAATTTCTGTATCTGGAATCTCTGCTTCACTTGAATTTCACACTTCTTAGTAATATCCAGCAGTATATTTGTAACCCTGAAGAAGTTCATTGTACACAGAAGACTTTAACATGAGTTGTAGTAAAGTTCTCCATACGAAAAGATTTGTATTAACCTTAACTGTGACTCTGAATGATGTTGGTTGCAATCGCTTAAAGATTACAAATCCTCTTAAGCCTTTAAACACTATTTGTTGGTGAATACTGAGTAGCATGAAAACTAATTCAAATAAGGCTGAAATCATTTAACCTTAGTTGATGGATTCAGCATAATTATTTCAAAAAGCAATTTGACAGGAGTGAAGGAAAATGCATGATCGTCGATCACAAAATTCATGCAAATTTTTATCATGGAGCAACTGGAGTTTTGATCAATCACTTCTACGTATTTTGAACTCCAAGGACTTATAAATTCACGTAAAACCAAAATAAGTGTAAATCAGTATCTTAGATTATAATAAGAAATTAAAGTCTTTTTCACAATAATATTCATCATGAAGTGATATAAACTGGAGAGCCATTGGATACTCTAGAACACTGCATAACCACTTCCTCTTTGTTTGGGACTAGCAGTTCACATCCATGGCCCGGCCAGAGGTTGACCTCAAGGCTTTCAGGTCTTGCAACAAACACACTGTTATTGATACATTGAGTTGGCATACTTTGGTTCAGTTTTGCTACTTCTTTCAATTCAAAATATAGCGTGACCTCAATCCGATGGCGTAGTTGAGTAACTATTTTTAAGTCCAACTCAGTTAGCTCCAGCCGTCACGACTTCTTATTAGAACTTCAGAAATACCATCTCGAAGCAAGTGACAGTGGACAGTAATTCAATTTGGATATTTGCAGGGATTTACTTATTGGTTTCAGGTTGATTTACTAAAAAGACGGTTGGTCACTACGTAGTATTAGTGAGCTTTATCATGCCTGTGCACTTGGTGAATAAGTTCATCAGGATTTGCGGAAATAGTCAGTTATCCTGCTATACAAATGTCTTTAATGAGTGACTTTAAAGGTCACTCTAAGAAGCGCTAATAAGTCAAATCAGGTTTGTGGATTTTATGAAAGACTACCTTTCTGACCCAAATCGTGAAATTTGATAAGTCATTTCAGTAGTTATTACAGTAGTTTTTAGAGCTATTTACTGAAATTAATATTAAGTAAACCTAGACAGATTTGACTGCTGAAGTATGATGGAACTGTATAACTCTGGGGTCCGAGGGTCAAATGAAAACGTCAGTGTGTATCTATGATTTCAACTACCAATATGGAATCACCTACTCAAAAAGAACTTTAAAACCCTTTCCTAACCTGAAAAAGAACACCATCTACCAGTATGACTAGCAAAAGGAGAGATAAAAAAGATTCCGTGCTCAATTTAGTTCCGCCTAACTGGTACTGATCACAGTTTCTCAGTGATCCACAAGACACCGAACCAAATGCTGTGAGTAGTAAAAACTTGCCTTCTTCAAACTACTCAAACTGTTGCAATAAAAATCAGGAAACCTGAGCTCTATCTGCCAAAATAACTCAAACATTCTCTCATTCTTTCGTAATCATCCACTTACATGACCAGGTAATTAGACTTGGCGGATCTCTAATTAGTATTCATCATGGACAGATATCGGCTAAGGAGACATTGAGAACATGAGAGCCCTGAATAGCTGTTGCATTCTATTGTGGGACCCCTCAGTAGTGCACGCCCGTGACCCGAACAGGGCTAGAACCCAGAAAAACCAGGTTCCATTGATAGCAGGTTACCTTTGAGCCACTGGGTTGGAATTCAGTGATACACATAGTTTAGATAACCAGCGACTCAAGCATCTTGTTTCTATTCTATATTATTGAGATCTATAGTTACTTCTTTTTCACCTTGTTTTACAGGTGTGACTCTAAAAGTCACCCTTCCAACAGTGAAGTAGTCGATTAAGGTTCCTTTACTTTGGTTGCAGAGGCAGATTTCCATAACTATCGAAATCTAATTGGTTATTACAATTGTTGTTAGGGTGAGCTTTACAGTTACTCATTTACGCACGTCAAGTATTTATATTCCTAATTTTCATTTGACTCAATATCCTATAGTTACTAACCGCCAGCTTTGATACTTGATTCCAGTGCAATTGTAGCTAATGGTAGCTGTCTGTTAATTCTTTTAGGCATTGTGAAGCAAACTGTTACTTAATTTTAATCCCATAATTATCTTTATGTAGAGATAATTGTCTAACATCCATGTATTCACTTGATGTATATATGTGTGTATCTAATTTTGAAAAATTGTATTTAAATCCATATCGTGGTGAAGATTTAACGGAGATGCTTGTTCCCCCGAGTTCTTATATTTTTTATGTTAACTAACTTATTTAGAAAGCCATTAGCTACTTGTTCAAGTTTACTTCAGAAACCTTTCAAATTCTAGACTAGTCAATTCTTACGATTTAAAACTAAAGCTTAATGACCTACACATAGAAGTGGACGGAAAAAATGTTCAGTTTCGACGTAACAAGTCTTTATACTAAAATGCCAATCAATATGGCACTGGAGACAGTCGAAGTCAACTAAATATTGATTTAGAACTTACTCACAGCAATAAGATATCGGTTGATGAGATCATATTAGGCGTACAGTTGTGCCTGACCTCCACAATGTCCAAGTTCCAGGACAAAATATACAGACAAACAGAAGGAGTGGCAATGGGATCACCAATATCCTTGATCGTAGCAGATATATTTATGGATAGTTGGGAAAACATGGCTTTACAATTGTTTCCCCCCGAACCAAAAATATGGTGGCGAAATGTGGATGACACATTTATTGTGTTGAAATCAGAACATATCGACAACTTTCTCACACATGAACACAGTATCAGATGCAATCCAATTCACTTACGAGATAGAAAATGACCAAGGAAAATTACGTATGTTGGATTGCAAGATCTAGCGAAGGACAGACGATGGTCTGGATACTACTTTACAGAAAACCGATACACTCCAACAGGCGTCTAGACTTCAAGTCATCTCCTCCAATATCAGTTAGGGCTGGTTTAGTCAAATGTCTAAATGATGGCTGAAAACTCACTAGTCATTATAAGGACTTAAACAAGGAATTGAAACACACAAAAGAAGCGTTATTAATTAATAGTTATCCTCCACAGTTTATTAAGAAATTCGTAGGAAAACATAAGAAACAAAATAATGACAATAATACGAATACAAGTAATGGTGACAACACGAATAGAAAGGAGCTCACAGCCTCCATTGTGTTACCCCATGAGGAAGGAACATCAGAAACTTTAAATAGGATCCTCAATAAATCTGGAATTAGGGTGGCATTTAAACCTACAAACTCACTCAGAGATCAGCTTAAGGATCTGACAGAACCAATTAAGCTGAATAATATAATCTATCAAATTCCATCCAATGACTGTGAGGTCAAGTACATAGGTCAAATAAGTCCGTCGGGGTCAGTTAGATTAGCTGAACATAGAAATTTAGTTAAATTATAGGATGACAGACGCCAATAAGATCAATAATCAAGAAAAAAAAATCGGCTATTGCATGCATTAACACAACCACACAATAGGGTGGGTGGGATATAACCACTGTACTAAAGTCCAGCATAATTAGTTGGAGAGAGAGGTTGATTACTGAATCTTTGTTTATTGTAGCAACACGCAACACATGTAGTAGGAATGACGCAACACCTAAACCAGAGATGCGGAAAATATTACTACCAATGGAAACAAAGAATATCAAGTGACAGGACTGTAAAAATCAAATGTCGGAAGCAGTGTGATTACACTAATATGATTATGAGCAAAACATCAGAACATCATCAAGTATGTAGTACTGTATCATTGTGTGCTTTATATCAAATAAACGAATCTAATATGGAATTATATTTGTGTTGTTAGCTTTCAAAACGTCTCATAAGTAGCCGTTGACTTTGAATCTGATAGCAGAAGGCCAAAACAGTAATCATCAAGGTTTAAGTTAAAGCTTTATTCAACTACTGGATGAAACACTCTTACAAGAAAGTTTATTGTCTTATGAGATCAGTTAGACTGGATTAGTCGATCACATTTTAAACGTGTTTGAAAACAAATGTACGTTTGTTGTTTTATTATCAGCAATAAGAAAAGGTTCACTTTTCAGTAATTTGGTAGCTCACTAAAGAAAAAACGAAATACAAGAGGAAACAGTTGTTATTACTGGTCAGTCTAAAGTATTTCTCATGATTTCTTCATCATTTTGATCTACGAAATAAGCTGGTGTATACTGTCTGCTAACCTAAATTGACATCTCTGTGTCTTAAGTTATCAGTGTCTATGGTCTAAATAAGGTAATGGTCCGGGTTATGCTCTGTCAATCTCCTGCGTACATATATATATACACACACACACAAAACAGAATGTTAACTTGAAGTAACACAACAAGATATGCAGATAAAGTCTTGATCTTTTAGCTTGCGAATGTTCATCGTCGACTGAACCGAATTGATCAGCCAATATTGGCAAATGGGTTGCTGTAGGGTTGGCTCTACACTGCGGATATTTACTCGAATTTGATATTAATGGTAGATATTGGCTAACAGTGGAATCCGTGATATGCGTTTCATTCTATTTGGGATTCATTAGTTGGATGTACCTGCCTGCTAGTAAGTGATATTGTCCCCGTTCACTAGAGGGAAAGTACGTGAAGCTTACTTATCCTGAACAAGATCAAACGCACATCCTTGTTCCCATTGCTAGCCACTATTTATCATTGATATGTGAATATGGACTACTTAGTGCCTACTGAGACTACACTTACATTCTGTGATAAATGCATATTCGTATGATGCGAACTTTTATCAGTACGACACCAATTTATAAATATTAGATGTTGAATCATTAATCCATGATTTCTTCATTCAATGCTGCTGTTTTATCCTCTTGTTAGTCAATTTTTCATTATTGTAGTCATCTAAATGTTAAATATTACTAGTCAACGTACACATCAGGTAAAGACATTCTTTATTCTATATAGAAATGAATACAATAAAAGTGCATGTTTTTTCGTAACAAGTTTCGGGTGCTCAGGTAGTGAGGAGAGTAAAGTTACATTTGCTATCAGTAGCCCAAGTTAGTAATGATTCAAATATATAGACAGGCATGAAATCCTTTAAACATGGTCTGGAATAAAATTGGTGTATTCCCACAGAGTTGTGAGACAGTGACTTTCAGAGAGAGATGAGGAGTCGACCAGCTGACCATCATGTAAATAAAGATTGCTTAAGATTAACTGGGAACTGTGCAAATGTTGCTACCGTCGTTGATGTTTTACTAAACACTATACCAGTCACATAAGAAGTGGTTATCATGGCTCGACGGTGTAGCAGACAACGCACTGGCGTTTGAGACGATCGCTCCCGAGTCCGAATCCCGCTGGGAACAACACTCACTGGGAAGCAGGTATGTCCAGCTGACGAGTCCTAAATAGGACGAAATGCGCATCCTGGATTCCACTGCTAGCCACGATCCATCATTAAATGTTGCTACCAACAGAAACAACCCATATAAAGCGACGTAACTATAAAAATCAAATGTCGAAAGTAATGTTATTACATTGATATTTTTATGAGCAAGAATTTATACTCGAAACGTCATCAAGTAAATAATACTAGATCACTCCATGATCACTCCAACTGATGTCAGTCTACGATGAATAACAACTTGAAAGATCACTGTGTGTTATGAATCAAATAAACAAATCTAATATGAAATGTTGAGAAAGACAAAATTACTACCAACGGTGATAGGAGCAAGTCATTAGAAGGTGATCACTACTCATTTCCGTTTACACTCGACTTTTCAGTTGTTTCCAGATTATTTTCATCTTTTCTACGTGTTCTTGTCTTGTCTTGTCTTACACAAGTAAAAATACATCCTATACAATGAGTTATTGATTTCCCTTCTAATGAAGGCTTGTTTTTTGACTTTTGGTTATAATCTGCATAATATAAGATCAAACTATCGCCAATCTCTCTTCGTGATGACGACATCTAACCATTAATTTCATTCTTTCCTAGATAGAGGGTTTTGTTAATGATGGCATTGAATCCACAAATTTTAAACCTTCTTTGCTGACATATGTTGACGAGGGTTGGTTATAGTAACAATGATCCTAAAATCTTCATCTGAGAAAAAAGCTAAAATTCTGAAGTCAGCACTCAGTTTTCCCTTTATTTTGAAACATCGTTTTTCAAACCCCAGGATTTCTTGCGTCATTTCTAGGTTTTCTGTGAATAAGACCGTTTAGGTAACTGAAAGTGTTCACCTATATCCATTGTACACACTCCGGTCTTATTAATTTGCAGTTCTTCTGACTTCAAGGATTTCAGTGTTTTACTCACCAATTTCAACACTTCTCATGATGCTTCCACTTTCATGTGGCCGAATTAATGCTAATTTTTTTTACCCTACTGAGTCTAAAGATACGGAGTATATCACTGATAAATAAAGAGAATTATGTTCAATTGAATACGGTTTGAATGCATAAACTGAACAGAATCTTACCTCAAAATATCTTTTATGACCTAAAAGGGATCGTAGTGTGTTCGTAAATTGCTTTGTCGAATCTGGCTAAATACATGAGGAAAGACATGAAGACAATTTTAGAAAGCTTCTACTATATATATATATATATATATATATATATATATATATATATAATATTATATGGTTCAGTTGATACCATTTATTCAATAAAAACACACCTAAGTATGATTTTAATGTTATTGCTTGTATTACATCGTCGTTGATTGGACCGAATTGATCGGTCCCTGTTGGGATACCGGCTGGTGTGCGGATGCCTCGATATTGCCTGTGTTTCAATAATGTATAGTGATAATGGGCAAATAGGACGAAATGAGGATCCTTGATTCCATTGCTAGCCACTACCCATCATTACTGTAAGTCTAATTTTGTTGAGATTTCCGGATGCGACTAATTGGGAACGCATAATTTAGCTAATGGATGGATGATACTAAAGTTGACAACTGGTCCACCTGACGAAACAATATGACAATGTTGAGCTGTAAAAAATTTGCTCCAATCGAAATATTTTGAAAGTACAATCCAGGGGCACAACTTGCTTTTACATGCAACGTATGCACCCTTCGGGTGAATGGATAAATTTGTGCATTGAAAGTAGGCGATTAACCAATAGGAAAACAGCGTTTATAAAAAAATTGAGCTATGCATATGGGGCATAAATGCTCGAAAATGACAATTCAAGCCTTCTATAGAATGAACTTATAGAATTTTAATATGAAACGTTCACTTTTGAAGTGACTTTAAGGACGACTTTAATGGCCACCCTAGCAACGATCGAAATAACCAATGAGGTTTCTTCATTCCCGCTGGAAAGGTAGATTCTCATAAAATAGAGTAGTCAAATTAGTTACTCCAGTTGTTGCGAGGGTGGCCTTTAAAATCATCCTAAAGTCAGAACAGTCTTGGCAACGTAACACCAATGAGATTTACTGTAAGTATACTTGTGATGGACATTTATGTATCTTGCGGATAAAGGCTCATTGCAAATAGATTTGTTTCAAGTTAACACTGATTACGGACTGGTATCATTTGGAGAAGCATTGGAAACATGGTAGCACTGTACAGCTGTTTCACCCGGGTATGGAACTCTTCAGCAACACTCACCTATAACCTCACCACCTGAAAATCCTGGGTAAATGTAGACTTATTATAAATTAGTCCTCTCCACAGTGCACACACTTCTAATGGCTATAATCTTAGAATGATTCATAATATAATACAATATTGTTAGGTAGTAGCTAGCAATGGAATCCAGGATGCATGTTTCCTCATATTTGGTACACATCATCTGAATGCATTTGCCTCCCAGTGAGTCATACTGTTCCAACTCAGGACCAATCGCTTCAAACATCAGTGTTACCTACTAGACCACCGAGTCACAATAGCCACTCATTGTACGACGCGCATAATCTGTATGTTATTGCTTGCGCAGGAACTTATAGGACAATGGATACCCAACACTTCGGTCCAATCAACCACAAAATATCACAAGTAATAGCATACTATGTAAAAAAGTTTGTTTTCAACAATGAATTCGATACTACGACAATATCAACAAAAAAGAACAGAACTAAATTGGACTACATTTCCAAAACTGTGATGAGATTTTGATTGAAAAACTAAAATATTCACACTACAATGTGTGAATTTATGGGTATAATAAGTAACGTCTAGGGTGCGAAGATAACGCCACTGCTGACCAATCTTATTTTCATTTAGGAGGTTGTGACATCTCATTAGAATCTCTAGCACATGTTGGTCAAAGTCTTAACATTCATTCAACTGAAGTTTTAAACTGCTTTTCCTAAAATGCTATGCTCTTTCATGCCTAATAATTGAAAAATTGAGGAAAATCATAACAAGATTAACTCTTCAGCTATTAAGACTCATATCCAACTGAGTCTATTGTTAATCTTTCTAAAACTACCGACTTAAAAATTATTCACCGTAAATATCTCATATAGAATGAAAGCTCAACTTATGTGAATACACATGACTTATACATTTCGAAATATTTTCCAATGTCTTCTAATATTTGGAATGATTTCTGTGGTTGTTACACTGATGAACTTTCTGTGATCTGCCATGATGGATATAGAAATAATTCAAGGACGTAACTTCTCGATAAGTGGGGCAGAATACTGTCTGTTTCTCTGGTCGTCGAGTACTTCGAACTTTCGGGAAGAGAGAGTAAAATCAGATTATCCAATGAACTAATCCCATTAGAAAGATACTCCTCCTATGGGGTTTCAAGATTTTCTGAAAGCGTGTAGGCGGTTGACACTTCCTAGCTGCCCAAACCGGGGAAGGTTAAGTCATGCTGAGGTGGCTGGCAAAGAACGGTTGATGCTTGACCTTAGAATCCAAGGGACATCTGTGTGATATCGGTCACACATAGATTTTTTGTAAGTTTAAGATCTTGGTTATTTGCACTCAAATTCGATTATGAATTCCTGTCAGAGATATCGGCATGTCGCTAAGAGGTGAGAGTGCGCCGTTTTGGAGGCCGAACTTTACTTATTTTCGTTCCCATAGAGAGGACAGTATCAGCGTGGCACCAGTGGCATTTAAGAGAAACACCTTACTGCTGCCACACCTGCTTCCCGTTAGCAGTATGACTTCCTCCCCAAACCCTCATACAAATTTACACCACGATGGTAACTTGATTTTTGTGTAACCACTATCCAACAGACCTTTTCGGTACTGTACGGTCCCAAATAAATAAGTGCAACACCAGGATAGCTCGTTAGGTCATTGTGATATACAAGTCCGACCATAACATCAAAGCAGCAGCTATTGGTTGGAGTTGTGACACTTGATAACTGATGAATACGTGCTGTATTTCACAGTAAAGTTTAAGCGTCTACTTGATACTTAGAGGCAAATGTTAACGTGAATTGGTTAGTCACCAGTGAGTAGCCGACGAAGCCGTTTAGTCCTTAAAGCTCAGGACTGAAGAAGCCATTTCACTAGGTACACCAACTTCATAGTGAGGCGTAATCCAGCGATGTAGTTGATTGTAGGAGAACATGTACCTAGCTAAATGCCTTCCAAAATAGTTGAATTGTGAAAATTTGATAAATCCGGGTGGGAGACAACCTTTTTCATACATAGCTAAACGAGTCAGAGAATTGATCTGAAGAAAGCTTTCACAGTTCTATGTGGAAAAATTCAGGGACGCATAACGAGATCTGCGAAAGCAATAACCATACGCGAATTGGAATCGTCTTTGTGTGTACAAAAGCAATTTATTCTTTCACCACACCTACCTTTCTTACAAAGATAAGGATGAACTATGTAACTCTTCCTCTCTGTTCTCGTCTTTCCTAATTTTGATCCCGTATTATCTCAACTGTTCTATTTACCCTTCGCTCATTCAATTTACATGAACTGACCTGATAAATCAATGTGAGATCAGATTGTTTGAAATATATTGCGTAAATACATCATATTGCTCAAACAAACTTCGTTTCTAACTATACTACATAACTTCACGTTTCAAGTTGGTGACTTAACCGTTTCTTATGGAAGTTGGAGGGTAAAAAAAAGAGAGAAATTCTTTTCACTCATGATTTGACATCAATTTCATCAGTTTTCTAACTCACGGTAGCTATTTTTTCACTTGAAAATTCTTTGAATCCATTCCTTGAAAAGTTTTTAATCCTTCTAATAATTTCATTGTCAAGTTTATCTATAAGACAGAGAAGTCTTTTCTCATACAATGCATGGAAAACATTATTCAACAAATGTTCTGCAATGTAACAAGTAATAGTTGCGCAACTCATACCACCATAACTACTGGATAAAACATTTTGTGGTCAAGATAACTGTCAGACCGTTTACACAAGAATCACTAGCAAGAAATCTACTGTGGTTCGGTTTTTCCAGAAATAAGGAAGAATATCTAGATGTTGAGAGTGAGCTATCCTGTGAACTAAGGTTCAGATTTTCATGCAAGGCATTATCATCTGTGCACCAATGCTCAACGAGAAAGTGAAGACTTCAGGCTCACCGATTCTTTTGAATTGTAGCAGCTTCTTTCTCACAAAATATGAAATTGTTGTAGTACTTGGAACATGGCTGCATTAATCTGATTCCGACAAGCGATATTGAATTGAAGCCTTTAAAAACCTTTTAACCATTTCTTTATTATGACTATGAGATTAAATATGAACCACAGATAAAAATCTCAAAAGACTTGTTGCTTTTTAGCGCATTTTAACATATTACGAATTACGTTATGATCATTGCACGTTTGTATTTTGAACATTTATTGTAAGAGTTCCCTTCAGGCTGGAAGGTAAAGAACGCTTTTTGAACTTCAAATCTTTAGACAGTGACTGGCAGTGGGATAATGACAGGCATTTCATCGTATTTGCGACATATCAGCTGGATTTACCTACCTAACAGTGTCTGCCGTTATTCTAACAGGTCATTATTACGTACGATTTTCGAGCAGGTGATAAAGATTTAATGATACATGATATCCGTTTGTCTTCAATCCCCTAGGTTGCAATGTATCCTGCACCGTGAAGTTTGAAGTCTATATAAGCCTTTTGTATAACCTTAAAATCAGATTTACAGATCTGGATCGTGATAACCTAAAAGTACTGCATAACGCAAGCAGACGCATTCACTGACTTCCTGTTTAAACTAAGTACTCAACTGACGATCCCGCAGATATTCTTTTTACCTGAGATGAGTAAAATTGGCTTTTATACTGTAATTGCTTTCAGGGTGACGCGCAATAATAAACTTTACTAGATAAGACCTACACAAGATTATTATTATTTTTCCTTGGGTTCCTAGTGAAACATAGAACTTCAGTAGCACATGTCCATTTCACTCTGTTCTCTGCAGTCTTTCAACCTGGCTCCACCACTGCCCATAAGCTTTCATTTCTCCCTCACATGACCTCCTCCATGTCAGTCTCGCCACGGAAGCCCAACTCGTCTTTTCCTCTTTGGATTCCACTCGACGGCCTGGCCTGGCGTGTGATGTATCCAATCGGTCTTCTCAGTGTATACCCAATCCAATCCATCTACACTTTCTTTAACTGTACATTTGTTGGGTAATAGGTCCTTGGTTGGTTTGTTGACAGGCCGGAGTTCCTTGTTGCTTATTCTTATTATTCTGGCCATCTAATCTTCAGTATCGAGTGAGTGCAGGCCACAGTTGTTGATGAATTCCTGTAGTGTGTAGAAAATGCTTTTCGTAACGCGCCAATTCTCTCAACCATCACATAGAAGCACTGACTTGACTGACATTAGTGCTGAAAATTTGGATGTTGTTCACGATTTATGCTGAGTTCAGTAGGTCAACACACTGATTTCAGAATAATGAAGGCCTGTCTTGCTATCTTTCAGATCCTGGCCTTGACATCCTCATCTGTGTCACCAGTAGTTGACACGATGCTGCCTACGTAGATGGAAGAGACTAATTCCCTTAGATTTCTCCGGTTCATGGTGATTGGTGCTTGTTGTTGTCGAAATTGTCGTTGGTTGGCTGTCTTCATCCACTCCGTCTTCTCTACATTCACTTGAAGTCCCGTCTTCCTTCGCTGCCTCGCCTCTTCCACCAACTTGTTGATTTTTGCCTGTAGATCTTCGGGTTTGTGCCACAAGACATTAGACATAAATCATCATCGGCGAAATCTAAATCTTCTTCTGGAGTCTTCTCATTGGTGCAGCCAGCGTATGCCCATCTTCTCGCTCCTCACGATTTGCTGCATGATTCAGTCTAGTAGACCACAATCAGGAAGATCAGCGGTGATAGTAGGCGGCAGCCTTGTCTTACTCCTGTCTCCACATAATAAGCATCACTGATCTTTCCATTGTGGACCACTTGGCACCTGGCGTCGTCATATAGCCAGCTGTTGAATGAGGTTGATAAAGATTTGTGGCACTAAAACAGTACTGTTGAATAAGCTGCCTGGCAAATTACCTCTCGATCGACGCTGTTGGAGGCCTTTTCCGAATCGATGAAGTTGAAGTAGAGTTGAGTTGACTGCCATTCTACGCTCTGTTCTATGATGATGCGTGGCCTAGTGTTGCAATTTGGTCAACACACGCTTTGTACTTCCTGAAGCCAGCCAGCCAGCCAGCCAGCCAGCCAGCCAGCCAGCAAGCCAGCTTGTTCTGGTTGTAGTTTGGCATCCAGCGTTTCCTTCAGTCTCTCTAGGGTGATGCGGCATAATATTTTAATTGCTTTGTGGGGACAACAGTATGATTCCACACCAGTCCTTACAAAGACTTAGGTCGCCCTTCTTTCCAAGTTTCACAAGGTATCCCTTCTTCCGATCACCAGGAGCCTTACATTCCCTTCCTTCTTTCCAAACCTTCTGCAATGGTGGTGTAAGTGTATCCGCTGTTGTCTTTGCGTCTCTTTTCAGTGCTTCTGGTGAGATTCCATCCTGCCTTGCTGCTTTCTCGGACTTCAGCAGTTGTATGGCATTCACGACTTCACTTCTGCTTTTATTGGAGGGCCTGTGTTCACTGGTATTTCTGCCGTTGTTGCTGGTATTTCTGGACGAGTCGCGTGTGGTGGTGGTGTTGGTGGTGGTGGTCGATTCAAGAGATGTTTGAAGTGGTCAGCTCGTCGTTTCTTTGTTTCTACGCCTTAGTGGTAAATAAGTTTCCGTCACTATTTTTCATTGATTTCGTCTGAGTTGATCTCTTCCCTTTTTTCGTTGTGCATCTCCGCACTGCACTGCACTGGTTCATCATCCTCTTCACCATCCTCTCTACCTCATCTATCAGCTTCCATGTGTCCGTCCAGATCCATTTCTTGTCTCGCCGCTTCTTTATCATTCCAAATACGGTCATGCAGGTTTCTCTTCACATCTATTTCAAATCGCTCCAGTGTTCTTCCACACAGGTTCCCTCAGGGATATTACTTACTCTCTCCCATTTCGTCCTGATGACTGACTGACTGACATGAAGATGTTCTTCGTAGTTTTTTCCCTCAGTTCAGTTTCTGTTCTGGGTGTTCAACTTCAAATGTGGTCTATCATCAACTTCTGTGAGGGCTTTCAACTTGATTTGGAAGATGGGTTCCTTGCAATAGATAGTGAGTGGTGTAAACCACCTACATCTGCTCTCCTTCTCGATCTGACCTTGTGTCCAGTAGGCTGTCTCCACTTTATTCACATTCAGATGAAGTCAAACTGTTTTTAGTGTATCCTTTTGTTTGGTGAAATCAAATCAGTGTTGCTGTCTTGTGAATATCCTTGTGTTTGTACAAACTGCCTCCAATCACCAAGCCACTAAATGTGCAGAATCCTGCAAACAGTTCTCCATTCTATTTCATCATTTCACCGACTGCTTATCGATCCATCATGAGTTCTCTTCCTGTGTTGTTGTCCGCTACCAGTTCGGCATTCATGTCACCCCAACCACTAGAATTTTGATCTCATCGTCGCCAATTGGGGTTTCGTCCAGTACTGATTGCAGTTGTCTGTAGAATTCCCCCCTTCTTCTCTTCATCTGCATTATTTGTAGGTGCATAGAGTAGCATTGCATGATTGTGACTTCGCTTCATTTCGAGTTGAATCTCACTGTCATCATCCTGTTCCTGATCGTGGAGGAGATTGGTTCCGACTACATGAGAGAGAACGTTCGATGCTCTTGAGCGGAGGACATCATGATAGCCACTCCAAGACTCAGTGTGCTCGTGGTTGTCGTGTCGTCCGGATGACGATATCGGAGTAGATTATTGACTCTCCATTTGACATTTGAGGAAGTCCACCTCCATTCCATCTGTTGATTCCACGCGGATTCCTATCACTTCTATGCTACACCTTCTCATCTCTTTGACAATCTGGATAGCGTTGCTAGGTTCATAGATGTTGTGGACATTCCATGTTTCCATGTTTACTTTCGCTTTCATCGTGGGAGAGAAGACACATCGACCGATTGGGATCCCGAAGACTTTCACTAATTGGTGCCATTTCGTCTTTCCGATTCCAGCGAGGAATAAGTTTAATTTTTTCTCACGGGCTAGAAGTTTATGCTGATTGTATGCACTCACCGAAGGTTTGTACATAATTTCTCTCTATCTACCTATCTATATATTTTTCACCCCTGGCATGTTTTACAGAACTGCTCTATCACTGCTGTTTTGCTAAGTGTTAATATGTATTCTTCATCTGAATCCCTGTTGAAGATCATCTGTCTGCTCTTCGGTAGGAAGTATGTCTCCCCTAAGTGCACTCAGGAAGTACACACACAATTTCCTGATCGATCGTCTCCACAGTGTGCACTCCATTTATATTATAGTGTTGACTAGAGAGTTTACTAGTAAACCAGACGTTTATACTTAATTTAGAGACATTCGTATGACTAACTGGGATTGGTTAGTGGCAGCAGGTGTGAATTACTGCAAACCACAACCTGTGAAACAGCCATCACTAATGTGTTGACCTGACTGTTCCTTTGGAAAACTGGCCGTATTTCACACATTTGTGTTTCAATTGACTAGTGACGGTGATGTATAAATAACTGATCTGTCAGAATTCTGACAGCCAGTTAATAAGTTGTTAGTCAGCTAGAAAATACTGAAAAACATCAGTAGTATTTATAATACTGAATAAATTTGGCAGTTGAAGTCCTGTATAAATCTGAAGACTATCCTGCAGAATAAATTTTACTTCTGTGAGTTTCCTTGTTAATCTATTTGAAAGGAAATTCAGCTGAGCAACGATATACTAGTTCCTGAAGTAGAGAGTTAGCTACACCTGTTGCATAATGGTTAGTGATAGTACTTCTCAGACCTCAGTAGGTGGGGTTGGATTAAACCCGCGACCTACACTGCTTACATTAATGATTTCCAGTGTATCGTTTAAGCCCCTGGCAGCAACAGAGATGATGTCAGTGTGGTGGACGTCATGCTGATTAGAGATGGTGGAAAATATCTAGAAAGATAAGTGTACCACCTAAAAATGCAGTTTTATGATCTTCAACCTTAATACTTTGTACTGGATTGCTAGGTTGTTCTGAATGAGACAACAATATTATGATTGAATAATAGAGTAACCAACTTCATATTGCGGAAACCTGAGTATCAGCCAAATTATATTAACCATTTCGTAATGTGCTCACCATACTGAAAGACTGACCACCGAGGTGAACTTTGACGGTTTTTAGTTACAGGTCAGTCGTGGCCCAAATGCCTCACTGTTGACTTCTGGGACTGACGTAATGGATGTCATGGGTTCGAATTTCAGAGGGGACATCATTTCCTTTAAGGTTGCACAGACTCCATTCTGATGAGTGTCAGCAAGAGCGAAGTCCAGGTCAAGGAGGGCTTTTTGTCGATTCACTTTAGTCATCTAAAACCAATCGATATGTTATGTTTGCCTACAGACCTTAGTAATCATGAGTGTTGAATATGTTATACGTCAGTCAAAAAGGGTCTAATTAAATAGATAGTCGGTAATATTCCTACACAAAAATGCTGTTTACCAGCAATGTGGCTTACCTTTGTTTCTCAAATATACAGTCATTTGTAGCCTGAAAGTCTCTTTCATTGAATGTAGCATATAATCAAGTTGTTCACATTTTAGATCAGCTGGCGTTAATCCCTAAATAGTAAACCATATACACAAAAGGTTTATGCATTTCCGTGTAAATTTTCGAAAGCATTTAAAATCAGCCTGCCCTGTACAGTGTAGGGCAGTGCGGTTGAGTGCTGTGTTACCTGCATAAAAAGCAGCCAATTATGCCCTGAACGACAAGGTTATCAAGGTTGACAAGAACAGAAACAAGATGAGGAATCGTTGTGTTTAGAGGAATAAGTGTTTATAAGACTGATTACTTACCTAGCTAGCCATGACCAGCTTTTATAAATCCTACTCGTTGAACTCTGAATTACTAAGAAAACTGAAGTAACATTAGCTTCTTTGCTTCAAGTTTTATCCTGTCTCATAAGCAATGTAAGCTGTTTAAGGTCTTAGGTACGATTAACTAGGTATACTTTCATTAGTTACTAGATGAACGATATGACACTTGAAAACTGGCTCAGCTGACACAAGAAGCTGACATTGTCGAACTGAAGAGAGTTTACTGAAATTGAAATTATGAAGGCATCAGTCCAGGTAGACAACTCTTGTCTTTATATACAATATGTGCACTCTTTAGATGAATAGACAAAATGGCATATTGGGAACAAAAGATTAACCAAAAAGAAAACATCGTTTGAAAAAGCGGCAAAATTCAGCTATACACGTGGTCAGAGAAGGGCATTATCAGAAGCTGATTCAGCTTCTTAGAGTTATGAAGTACACCAAACTACCTTACTACCCACAGTCAGACTAAGTTCGTCTTTCAGTCAGACACGTTATTCTGTTGAAATTTATGAATCCTAAAAGTTTAACGAAAGCTCTGAGATTCTTATTCAGAATAATAAATAGGTAGAAATTTGTAAAAATCACCACTGACCAACATAGTTTCATCTAGATACTTTGAACTGATCTCGGAATCTGTAGTGAAGAAATCTATGTCTGTCTGTTTGAATTCATAATGAATTTCATATCCCTAATAATTAAAAAGTTGTAGACGAGTAATTTTAAGAAGACTCAGGGTATATGAAAAATAAGACAACAGTTAATCTGATGTCCTTGTTGTTTTGAGGTCTTAACAAACTGCAATTGTTTACATCTAAACTCCCTGAAGTATTCTTTTTTCTCCCTAATTAACTCAGCAAGAAACTTGAGCATATAACCACTCAGTCATCTAAGAGTGGTATAATATTGTGGTTGGAAAAGAAACTATTGGTTTCGAGGTGTTAGAATTCAGGATAGGATTTAGATCCATCTTTTATACCTCTGCAAATCTATAAGCCTGTCTGTTTCTCTTAATACTTTACACTTAATAAACCAGCACCACAAATGATATGAATCTAATTTACACTCTTGTGGAGGATGACCCACTTACCTTAATTCCCTCTACGTTTATCACTCATATGATGATTCATTCAACCTCTATGTTTCAGCTAAATATCATGCATACTGTTGAAAATATTACTAAACCGACAGTTATGAAGTTGAGGATTTACAATCGCATTATGTATTCAGATGGTGAATAATGTTTACAGGAGGTAAGTAGACTGAAGTACGTCAGCTGTGTACGCGTTCACGGGAAGGTGAAAGATTCAGTTTGACATTGTCTTGTACTGACTAGATTTTGAATTTCCTTTACCCATTTGTTCCCACTGTGTTGATCTGCATATTTTAGCTAGTTGTATGTGAAACACAACTTTATTAACCGTCCCACTTACTTCTGTGTTTCTGATATTTTCTCATGAACCTAAATGTGATTTATTCATACTATGATTGTCTTTTTTAACCTTATTTATACTTTACCCTTTCTTGATGAGTGTCTTCTGCCGTGGTACACCAAATGGTTTTGACCGCTCGACTAGCTTCCACGCAACACATATTGTCCCGATAGTTGCTGGTTTCTATTAAATTCTTGTTGATATTCCTTGTGCATCTTCGTTGTTATTGAGACCGAACTAATAAGTCACTATTAGAAAATGGGCTCCTGTATGAATGTCTCGATATTGCCCGTATTTTTCGAATTCGATATTATTAGCTGATAGTGACTAGTAGGGAATTCAAGGATGCGTGTTCCCTCCTGTTTGGGACTGTTTAGCCAGATGTAGCTGCCTTCGGATAGTTGATGTTGTTCCCGCAAAGACTCGAACTTTAAGCCAATAGCTTCAAACACTAGAGCATTATGCTATAGTGGGGACAACAGCACCCACCGGAAGGCAAGCACGTCCAGCTGATGAGTCCAAAACAGAACAAAATGCGCGTCCTGGATTCTACTGTTGACCATTATCCATCAATAATATTTATTGAATTTTATCTTTGATTATATCCTTACACTTTGCAAATTTTCCATAGGAAGTGGTATAACTGAAAATTTTAAGTTTCTCGTGACTCGTTTCACGTGATCAGGTCATCATTGTTAGTAGTTCAGTCCTTAGAAAGTAGTACACAAAGTTTTTTGAACTGCAGTCCTACTGTTCATCATGGAGATTTGAATAGTTTGTTAACTCGGAAAGTTACTTGCTTATCTGAAGGTAGGTAATCTGTGGAACCACAAACTCCGTTTGGTCATATATTTTGGTTTCTGAATTTTAAACTCATGCAATTATAGAATTCTAGTAAATGATTGATGGTTTTCAGTCAGTTTTGCATTTTTACTACTAAGTTGATTGAAGCAAGAGGGAAGTAAGCTAAGTTGGATGAAAAGTGTATAGACTTTATTACTACGTTGTCTTATATCTAAGCGTTAAGTTTATTTTTGATGAAAGCTGACATAAATTGATAAGGATGATTTGTAGACATTTTTATTCTTTTTAGGGGAATATTTTCATGCCATAGCCTTTGATATCCAATATCTGTAATCAATTTAAATAATGAACATTGAGTTTAACATGCAGTCATAGTTAAATTATCTGTGTTGCGGGAATTTAAATTTGGTTATCAAACTGATTTCTGGTCAGAATACCTGTCTCGTCAAGTAGTGTCATACATTGTGTTCATAGACAGATGTATATATCTCCAAGTGTTGGGTGTGTTCGCCGATTTTTCATTTTCCTTAAGAGAGGTTTTAAAAGTGAACTTTTTTATCATATTCAGGAGTAGAGAAGATGACAGCTAGGTTGATATCAAAAACTCTAGGACGATTTAGTCCTAGAACGCTTATTGTCTTCTTGGATATCAGCCTCACAACAGACTGCTTCAGAAAGTGAGGTATTAGGACTTTGTCACAAAGTATTGATTTTTACTGCCACTATCTATGACAGCCGTCGTTTGGTAGACTGATTTCACTGATACAGGTTGTTGGTTGAAAGGGAATTAAAAACCTGTGTAGTAGCAGGACTCGAGCAAGGGACTTCTGAGTTATCGGGAGAGTGCTCTGCCAACTGAGATAAGTGACTTGCCTACTGATTGGGTTTTAATTTTACATCAATCATCATGGATCTTTTTCAGCTTATGTTTAAATCCGTGAGTTCTTACAATTCTCTGCCCACAGAAGTCTGAACTGATGATATGTTCTCGAAAAAAATGACAACTTCATGATTCAAACATATACTTCAGACAATGTAAAACCAATGAGCCTCTTTTTCTGAGCCAAGAATCTTGATTACAGACTTCATGAATGAAATTCACAAACAAAAGAGTCTCTCAGTGAATACACTGCCTCAAATGCAAATATTTAAATAGATAAAATTAGGCTTACCACCACACATTTTTGTGCATATCTATCTAGCATTAATTCATTAAATACATCTTCTGGTTGACTTGATAACTTCAACGACTTCTTTTTCTTCTTCTTGTCGTCTGACGAAGTAGTCACTTCATTGGTTGGTTGTAAGCTGGTTATTGGCTCTGGTTTCATGTTAGAATGTTTTTCCAACTTACTTATTTCGTCAGACTTATCGAGTAGACGACGTTCTCGGTGCAGAAAACGTTTATGTGCTTTTTTCAGTAACATAACTGTTTTAACAGCATTTTGTAAAGCCAGCAAACTGGCATTATCCGTCTGTTTATAAGAGTTTGACTGGAACTGTTGAACAAGTGTTTCTTCATCTTCATGACTGTCGTCATCATCCTCATCATCGTAAACGTCAGCTTTGTTGACTTCTTTACCACATTTTGATGTGGCAGACATATTCTCCAAACGATTTTCCAGTCCAATTAATAGGCTGCCATGAATGCATTTTCATAATCCGGAATTCGTTTATCACTTGGAAATGTGTATATGTGTCCGGGATGAGGAAAATGGAATAAATCTTTTTAAACAAGCATAAGACTTTGCGTTTGGTGATATGCTTACACTGGTCATTACAAATAAATAATGCACATAAATTTGTGTATGCCAGTTTATGTGTCCTTGTACACCCGATTGTAAAATGTGCTCCACAACACCACCCAACCTGGATAGCACATGGAGAACTTAACTGCATCTCCGGTTCAATGACAGAAATATCTTGTGTATTCAGGTCATTCAACTCCTTTCGAGAACTCTTTAAATATCCTCCACAAGGTTTAATCAAGCCAATCCAAGGAAGTAAGATCAAAGCGTCTGGGTATTTCTGGAGGAATAACCATTCAGAAGTTCAAACCAGTACTACTTTCAAGAATGTACGTTTAATATCTGTTTTTGCTATGGCCATTATACTACCCTGACTCTTCTAAATAAATTCTATATTGCATAATTATATTTATTTTTTTAATCCCCTATGAACCCTAATTTATACTACCTATCTCCCTTTGGTACTTAGTAGATTTCAACTTCTGCAGTGTTCTTCCCTTCGTAATATATGTTCACGAGTGTAGACCTTCGTAAATGATTTTGTAAAACAAAAGAAAGGGTTCTTCGCTAAAATCGCCCTCTTTGTCTTTTTCTAAGGACAAATAAATGGAACACGAAATACGGTTTCTATGAATTGGCCAGTTTAGGTTTATATTTAAGACATATAAAATCATTGACAATCAAAATATGTTCATTGGTAGCAGTTTTGCATGATGTATGAGCAGAAATTCGATATACTGATCAGCTCTCTGGCGAGCTACAATCACCAGTTGCTACACAGTGTTTCATTCAGAAGAATCATGATCGACGAATTTCATCGTATACTGACTTCATTTAGGTGTTGTCTCGAGTCATTAGATGTTTGAGGTTAGAAAATATGAACCATTCAACAATAATCAGGTAGCTGGGATCTGAATCCAGCGTAAAAGTTTATATGGTATCTAGGATGCATGTTACTAGTGCATCCTAAACTAAGGTTGAACAGTTATCATCTCATTTCAATATAAAACAGAGTACCATGAAAGTGAGGAAGCATTGTAAGCTGGCTTATTCTGGCTTGGAACCTTCTAACAGTCTGCATCCACAATCCCATGCTGGAATAATCTCTCAGCCGTCATCTTTTATAACTGATGTTATTAAATTCAGTCACTATGTTGAGATTTATTAGCTTATAACTTCTAACTTCTCTTAAGTTGCGATACAGAAGGACTGACATATAATCCTGTTTATGGGTATCTGTTCAAACATTCAACTTAATTGACTTCACAGGTCATTCAGACACTCAAGATCTTTTAGAAATCAATTTAAAAACAATTCAGTAATAAGCGGTGAGATCAATTCCATGTAGAGTCATGAATGTGCACTGGTGAGTCAACAAGAATTAGGTTATGAAAGCAGTTCAGTTTCCCCTAGATTTGAATGAGTCTGTGATTGATATAGCTCGGTGACAAAAGTAACGTGGAATCTTTTAATTCATTACGAAATTTTCCAAATAATTATTTAGAATATGAGTGAGTACTGGATAAAGCAGTTACAAGACCGCATGTAGTTCTTAGTACAAGGAAGCCAACTATTTTCTCTATTTGTAGTTTAAGCTTTGCATGTTCCTATGATTGTGATGTCTTTGAATTTCTTGAATTTGAGTACAGTGAATGTTGGTAACTTGTCCGAATAACTTTTTCGGTCTAACAATGTGAAATATCCTCTTGACTGAGCCATCTAAATCACTGATTGTATTGTGACTGAAAAAACGTCGTAGGATGAATGAAGTTGTCAGTTTGTGAAGGTATTATCCTTTGTTTAGGGTCATAATAAAGACAGAGTTGTCTCTTTTAATGTATGCCAACTTTTATATCTGAGTTGAAATAATAAAGAATGTAATTTAAGTTATCTACGTCCTAGGAAGAAGCAGTCAGATTTATGGCATTGTTCATTTTCTAGTTTCCTTTGTAAATGTTGTTCTTTAATGCAACTGCATATCATCGTACATTCATCGGTCACCGGAAAGTGATCACTATCATGATGTTAGGCCACAGTGCTCAATAGGACTATAAGGCGAACTGTCGTGAAATCATCATTTTTCCTATTACGATATTGAACATTCGAAAGAAATGAAAGGAAGCTATGAGTGAATTTAGGAAGCGAATCTTCCTAACTGTGAATTGCATAAATAGCACATAATATAGATTTGACACCTGATCTGCCTAGCACGCTCAAGGTGATGGTTTTGATAATTTTAATCGCTACGAAAATGAAAATGATTGTCAAGTGTTTTATATATTCAAATTTCAATAGATTGGTCACAAGGTTAAGTTTCACCCTGTCTGTGTTAGGGTGTTTAGCTATAACACTTCATTTATCATTGCATAAAAGCAAGTATGCTTAAGAGCCTTCTACATGAACAACTTTTGGTTGCGTTGAGAAGAACTGATAAAATGTAGTAAACAATATATTATTAACCCTTAGATACTGGTTCTGAAGTTTTTGGCATACTATACACAGTTCAAGCAGGAATTGCAACTAGAAAATAAAATTCCCTTAAAAAGCAAGTTGTAATGGATATACCAAGGTTTAACTCACTTAGTAGTCTTTCTAACTTCATTGGTCTGTTCACTACACATTATCACTAGAAACCGGATGTTCTGACCGGCATATCCTGGTTTCTGACCTTTTAAAAATCATCACATCCGCCTTTCAAAATACGGACTATCATAAGTTGTGAATAGTTGTTTAAGCTGTGACTTTATGGGTATGAACAGCAGTGGTTATTTCTTTCACGAAATGGTGGTGTGTACTGGTGAATGGCGATAGATAGCATGTGGTGAAATATCCTTTCATGCTATCTTTGAACAATATTGGTTGATAAGTAATAAACAATCTTCTGTTACCACAGAATATGTTTCTCTTTACGGTCAAAGTTTTGTGAGCATATAGATTCACCACAAAGTGCAAAAATAAGTGATGACATTGACTGAACACCAGAGAGTAACAAATGTGATGCTTACCGAATTCTATCAACCATTTTTTAATGTGACCGCCAAGTTGAGAGACTTACCAGTGTAATTCAATTAGACAGATATTAGTTATAGCCTAATCATGGCCCAAATATCCCATTAATATAAGCGTAAACCGTGTCAACTATGGTACAGAGCAATTCCATTTTTGTCTGTTTATAAGGTTATCAAACAGTGTAACAGTATTGTTTACTGAATAACGTTTCTGACATAATTTATTGCTCATAGTCATATCAGGATAACACCACAACATTGAGACATCATTTATTATAGTTCTAATTACCTCGCCTAAGTAACTAGTTCACTAGTTACTAGCCAGTCCTAAGCGAGAATGAAGAGCGAAGGTTGGGAATAGGTCAGGCATCCATACGCCGGAAAACCAATCTAACCGCTAAAGAAACTTAAAAGCACAAGGAAAATATTAAACATAAATTAAAACTTATTCCTCGCTGGAATCGGAAAGACGAAATGACACCAGTTAGTGAAAGCCTTCGGGATCCCAATCGGTCGATGTGTCTTCTCTCCCACGATGAAAGCGAAAGTAAACATGGAAACATGGAATGTCCACAACATCTATGAACCTAGCAACGCTATCCAGATTGTCAAAGAGATGAGAAGGTGTAGCATAGAAGTGATAGGAATCCGCGTGGAATCAACAGATGGAATGGAGGTGGACTTCCTCAAATGTCAAATGGAGAGTCAATAATCTACTCCGATATCGTCATCTGGACGACACGACAACCACGAGCACACTGAGTCTTGGAGTGGCTATCATGATGTCCTCCGCTCAAGAGCATCGAACGTTCTCTCTCATGTAGTCGGAACCAATCTCCTCCACGATCAGGAACAGGATGATGACAGTGAGATTCAACTCGAAATGAAGCGAAGTCACAATCATGCAATGCTACTCTATGCACCTACAAATAATGCAGATGAAGAGAAGAAGGGGGGAATTCTACAGACAACTGCAATCAGTACTGGACGAAACCCCAATTGGCGACGATGAGATCAAAATTCTAGTGGTTGGGGTGACATGAATGCCGAACTGGTAGAGGACAACAACACAGGAAGAGAACTCATGATGGATCGATAAGCAGTCGGTGAAATGATGAAATAGAATGGAGAACTGTTTGCAGGATTCTGCACATTTAGTGGCTTGGTGATTGGAGGCAGTTTGTACAAACACAAGGATATTCACAAGACAGCAACACTGATTTGATTTCACCAAACAAAAGGATACACTAAAAACAGTTTGACTTCATCTGAATGTGATTAAAGTGGAGACAGCCTACTGGACACAAGGTCAGATCGAGAAGGGGAGCAGATGTAGGTGGTTTACACCACTCACTATCTATTGCAAGGAACCCATCTTCCAAATCAAGTTGAAAGCCCTCACAGAAGTTGATGATAGACCACATTTGAAGTTGAACACCCAGAACAGAAACTGAACTGAGGGAAGAAACTACGAAGAACATCTTCATGTCAGTCAGTCAGTCATCAGGACGAAATGGGAGAGAGTAAGTAATATCCCTGAGGGAACCTGCGTGGAAGAACACTGGAGCGATTTGAAATAGATGTGAAGAGAAACCTGCATGACCGTATTTGGAATGATAAAGAAGCGGCGAGACAAGAAATGGATCTGGACGGACACATGGAAGCTGATAGATGAGGTAGAGGAGGATGGTGATACGGAAGATGAACCAGTGCAGTGCAGGGATGAACACGGAAAAGCGGAACTGAACACAACCTACAAAACATTACACTGGACAAAGAAGTGACGAAGAGTGCGCGCAAAAATGAAAGACAATTCTACGACACATTGGCAAGTGAAGCAAACAGTCTGCTTCAGGTAGGAGAGACCTGACAACATTATACCAAGTAACCAGGTTACTATCTGTGAGGGTGGAGATCAACTCAGACGAAATCAATGAGAAATAGTGAGGGAAACTTATTTACCACTAAGGCGTAGAAACAAAGAAAACGACGAGCTGACCACTTCAAACATCTCTTGAATCGACCACCACCACCAACACCACCACACGCAACTCGTCCAGAAATACCAGCAACAACGGCAGAAATACCAGTGAACACAGGCCCTCCAATAAAAGCAGAAGTGAAGTCGTGAATGCCATACAACTGCTGAAGTCCGAGAAAGCAGCAAGGCAGGATGGAATCTCACCAGAAGCACTGAAAAGAGACGCAAAGACAACAGCGGATACACTTACACCACCATTGCAGAAGGTTTGGAAAGAA